TATTTTGAAAAGTAATTCATTCCTGTGGTAAAGCATTTGCATTTTTGATTCTCTGAAGAATAAAGTTCAATAAAGAGAAGCATTCATATGAAAAAACATCTGCTGAATGGTCTTTTTTTTTTAATCCAGGAAGTGATGTCATCTCTTATTACCTGTCTGCAGCATAACTAATATGAAAACAACTGGATGTTCAGCATCAGTTACTAAGCTGATGTGAGGGTTTACACCACCCCGCCTGAAGTACCTTAACAGTCAAGTCTTCATGGCCGAGGACGATCTGCACATGCACTGGGGGATACTCCATGGCATCTTCATAAAGCTCCATGGTAGCGCGCATGGCATTCTGCAGGGGTCACAGAACATATTAATAGCACAGCACAGGTCTAAAAGAGCAAAGCCGTAAACTGAGCATCATGTGACCAAAGGAAAATCATATACAATTACATCATAATGCATCCTTTACTCAGTACATTTAGCAAATATACTCTACAAATAAGTGTATACACTACTTGACAAAAGTCTTGTCTTGATCCCAGTTTTAAGAGCAACAAATAATAACTCGACTTCTAGTTGATCATTTGGGAAAGTGGCAGAAGGTGGATTTTTCTGATGAATCATCTGTTGAGCTGCATCCCAATCATCACAAATACTGCAGAAAACCTACTGGAACCCGCATGGAGACAAGATTCTCACAGAAATCAGTCAAGTTTGGTGAAGGAAAAATCATGGTTTGGGGTTACATTCAGTATGGGGGCGTGCGAGAGATCTGCAACATCAACAGCCTGAGCTATCAAGACATTTGTGCTGCCCATTACATTACAAACCACAAGACAGAAGAAGAAGGTGCTCCAGGATTGGCCAGCCTAGTCACCAGATATAAACATTATTGAGCATGTCTGGGGTAAGATGAAGGAGGAGGCATTGAAGATGAATCCAAAGACTCTTGATGAACTCTGGGAGTCCTGCAGTCTTTCTTTGCCATTCCAGATGACTTTATTAATCATTGATTTGATACATTGCAGAGATGTATGGATGCAGTCCTCTGAGCTCATGATGGATTCAGACACAATATTCATTCTGTTTCCACTGCACTTTATATATTACTTTATATTCTATACTGGACAATATTTCTGTTCAGTGACAAGACTTCATTCTAAGCAAAGTCGGACCTTATTGTCCTGATTAAATAATAAAAAAATCAAGGCATGATCATATTTTATTTAGGTCAAATAAGCGTAATCTAGAGGCGTTTCCCTTTCATATAAGCCACTTTTGATACCAAATGATCAACTAGAAGTCTATTTATTATTTGCTGTTCCTAAAACTTGGATAGGCGACAAGACTTTTGTCAGGTAGTGTACTTGAAAATACCTTAAAGAGCTCAAACACCATGTGGTAGAGATGAGATGGTACATAAACCACAGTAACGGGTTTATCTGGTCCTTTAACTGTGGAAAAAAACACACACAAAAAGCTGCAGTTTCACCTCTGATCGATCCATGTGTAATGCGGACTCGTTTAATCATCACTTTCGTTTTTATTTAAAAGTATGTATTAAGACACTCTTCTCTCTCAACTCTGTTTATGACCTTTTGTGAATGTGCAGCAGGAAGTTACCATTAAATTCCTCCAACACTAGCTCGGGCGAGTTCATATAATACCGGTCACACAGGTTTCGGGCATTTTCATAAGCATCTGGAAGAAAAAATAACAGGAAACAGTTTGAAAATTCTCTAAAATGGGGACCTATTATGATGTAAAAAAAAAAAAGGTCTCTGACGTGCCTAGAGTGTGAAGCTTTATCTAAAAATACCACACAAATAATGTTTTATGACTCTGCCACTTTTAACATTTGATCAAAATTGTGCGGTTTTTGGTGACTGTTGCTTTAAATTCAAATGAGATCAAAAAAGGGAGGAGCTATAAATGCCTGTGTGTCAGCATAGCGGCGGGTTCAAAACTCTAATAGCAGACAGCTGCTTCTCACTCAGGGCTGTTTATGCTAATAAGGGAGAGATCATCACCAATGGGCGGGGCTTTCCCCCTCTGATGACACGTACAAAGGGAGAATGACAGCAGACTATATTGGTAACACTTTACAATAAGGTTCATTATTTAATGCATTTGCTAACATGAACTAATCATGAACAACACATGTACAGCATTTATTAATCATAATTGAACATTTACTAATGCATTATTAACGTTCAAGTCCATGCTTGTTAACATTAGTTAATGCACCATGAGTTAACATGAACTAACAATGAACTACTGTATTTTCATTAACTAATGCTAACTAACATGAACAAATACAGTAGAACATGTATTGTTCATGTTAATAAATGCATTAATTAACATTAAATAATGAACCTTATTGTAAAGTGTGACCACTATATTAATCAAGTGTGATTATAAAAAAATAGAATTAATTAATTTTTACCATTAGAGGCTGGCTATATTCACACACTGTTACCACACAAACCCTTATAACAGTGATTTTTATATAATAGGTCCCCTTTAATGCTTTAACTGCTGTTGCGTTTCAAGAATGAAAGGTCATGGTCACCTTTTACCACATCCGTGACCCGACAGCTGGGGTCAATGCTGCCGATCTGTTTGGGATGAGCAGGATTGTCCCTCACCTTTCCTCCGAACAGAAGAGCTGAAAACACACAAACGTCACATCATTGACTGACAATTCTCTTGCTGGTGGTGGAACAATACAGCTCATTGTTTAACGGGTGACAGATCAATCAATGACAGTTTCAGAAATCTGGGGCACTGTCGGTTGTGAAACTCGTAAACATGCCAGCCGGAGCTGCTGGACCAAACTACACTATGAGTGAACCTTCCAGAAGTCCCATTCAAACCACTGACATTTGAGCGGGACCTTGTTATAAAGCACCCTAAATGTGCGTGTGTATGCACTGTGCATTCCTTACATTGCAAGGACCACATGTCCCCACGAGTATATCAATACCAGTCAATTTTGACCTTGCATTTTTATTTTTGGTCTCCATGAGGAAAACAGCTCATAAATCACACAGAATAAAGTATTTTAAAAAGTAAATATGCAGATTATTTCAAGTGAGGGTTGGGTTTAGTGGTAGGGCTATAGAATATACACCCTGTACAGTAAAAACATCATGTCTAAGGGAGGTCCCCATAAAGATGGCTGTAAAAGTGTGCGTTTACGAAAATACAAAAGTGTATAATGACATGGGTATAACCTTGTACTCTAGCAAGGTGGTTTATGAGGACATTCTTTGCGTTCTCGTAACTCAAATAGCTCAAAAATCATACTTAATAGGGTCTTGCCTTAGGTTTATTGTGAGGATTGGGTTTAGGGATAGAAGTGGGCGTTTTTCCACTATAAAATACATTATGCCAATTGAGAGTCCTCATAAACCACCAACATCAAGATATGTGTTGGTTTTGATGGTTTACAATGGCATTTTTTGACCAATGACATAGTTGTACTGCATAACAATGGTTTAAATTCAAAACTCTTTAAAATCATTCGCCACAGGTTTTTCTGTGAGGGTTAGGTTTATGATTAGGTTTATTGCTAGTGGGATAAGTAATATAATAAGTGTGTTTTTACATCATTAAATAAATTATGGCTATTGAGAGTCCTCATAAACCACCAATACCAATATATGTGTGTGTGTTGGTTTTGGTGATTTACAATGACAGCTTTTGTGTATAATAACATAGTTGTACTCCATTATGGTGGTTTACGAGGGCATGACTGATGTCCTTGTAATTCAAAACTCTTTAAAATCATTTGCCACAGGTTTCCTGTTAGGGTTAGGTTTAGGATAGGGTTTATTGCTAGTGGGATAAAGTAATATAATAAGTGTGTTTTTACATCATAAAATACATTATGCCTTTTGAGAGTCCTCATAAACCACCAATACCAATATATATGTGTGTGTGTGTGTGTGTGTGTGTGTGTGTGTGTTGGTTTTGGTGGTTTAAAATAGCATTTTTTTCACCAATGACAGTTGTACTGCATAACAATGGTTTACAAGGACAGGCCTGATGTCCTTGTAATTCAAAACTCTTCAAAATCATTCGCCACAGGTTTCCTGTTAGGTTTAGGATAGGGTTTATTGCTAGTGGGATAAAGTAATATAATAAGTGTGTTTTTACATCATAAAATACATTTTGCCTTTTAAGAGTCCTCATAAACCACCAATACCAATATATATGTGTGTGTGTGTGTGTGTGTATGTGTGTGTGGGTTTTGGTGGTTTAAAAAAAAAATTTTGTCACCAATGACATAGTTGTACTGCATAACAATGGTTTACAAGGACATGCCTGATGTCCTTGTAATTCAAAACTCTTCAAAATCATTCGCCACAGGTTTCCTGTTAGGTTTAGGATAGGGTTTATTGCTAGTGGGATAAAGTAATATAATAAGTGTGTTTTTACATCATAAAATACATTTTGCCTTTTAAGAGTCCTCATAAACCACCAATACCAATATATATGTGTGTGTGTGTGTGTGTGTATGTGTGTGTGGGTTTTGGTGGTTTAAAAAAAAAATTTTGTCACCAATGACATAGTTGTACTGCATAACAATGGTTTACAAGGACATGCCTGATGTCCTTGTAATTCAAAACTCTTCAAAATCATTCGCCACAGGTTTCCTTTATGGGTTAGGTTTAGGATTGGGTTTATTGCTAGTGGGATAAGTAATATAATAAGTGTGTTTTTACATCATAAAACACATTATGCGTACTGAGAGTCCTCATAAACCACCAATATCCAATATATGTGTATGTGTTGGTTTTGGTGGTTTAAAATAGCATTTTTTTTTCACCAATGACATAGTTGTACTGCATAACAATGGTTTACAAAGACATGCCTGATGTCCTAGTAATTCAAAACTCTATAAAATCATTCGCCACAGGTTTCTTGTGAGGGTTAGGTTTAGGATTGGGTTTTTTCCTAGTGGGATAAGTAATATAATAAGTGTGTTTTTACATCATAAAATACATTATGCCTACTGAGAACCCTCATAAACCACCAATACCAATATATGTGTGTGAGTGTTGGTTTTGGTGGTTTACAATGACAGTTTTTGTTTATAATAACATAGTTGTACTCCATTATGGTGGTTTACGAGGGCATGACTGATGTCCTTGTAATTCAAACCCATTCAAAATCATACTTAGGGGTTTCTGACATTCATATTTTGCCTTATGTTTCCTGTAATGTTTCCCAACCCTATTCCTGGAGGCACATCAACAGTACATATTTTGGATATCTCCCTCACCTGACTTATTAACGTCAGGTTTTGGAGTCTCTTCTAATGAGATGAGTTGATTTAGGTGTGTTTGATTAGGAAGAAGTTACAAATATGTACTGTTGGTGTGTCTTCAGGAACATGATTGGGAAATACTGGTTTAGAGCCAGATAATAAAGCAGTTTTTACTGTATAATATACATTAAGTCTTTTGAGAGGCCCTGTAAACCACCAATACCACCATATATGTGTATATGTGTGTTTGTGTGTGTCTCACTGTGCTGGTTCAGGAGCATTCTGATTGAAATCCTGCTCATGTAGAAACGGTCCAGAAAGTACTGCATATTCTGACTGGTGATGGGGTCAGTGCCGTAGGTCTCCTTGTATTCCACAACACCCTGAGCCATGGTGGGCACCACATCATTGTGGCGGTTTCTGATCTTAATCACAGCATCTGTGAAACTAAAACAACAGAGGTTTGTGTTAGTGTGTATTTGTAAGCACAGGTCGGTCATCAGGGTTCCACTGAAAACTTCAATTTAATTAGCTTTTGCATTTATAAATTAGTTTTTATTTTGATACTATTTTTAAAAATGGCTGTATATTTCTGTCGAGTTTTAGTTTGTTTAATTAATGTTATTATGCTGTAAGCAATTCTATTTAGTTTTTGTATGTTTAGTTTTAATTTAAGTAATTCTAGTTAGTAAATCTACAACCGATATACAGCCATATCAAACTGCTTCTCGTGTGATATTGCATTTATACAACAGTTTGACGGTATAATTGTGTATATAAAACATCAAACATGGAGAGTCTCAAAAACCCTTTTGTACGAGGAACTACTTTCTTCCACGTTGGATTCAAATCATAAGCTGACAGTTAAACAGCTGAGCAAGCATCTTTTAAACTTCAGATCTGTAGTGTCTGCTTTTTGCCAAAGAGCTTAGAATGACCCATAGATATATACACTAGATGTCGCCTGGCCTATTGTTGTCTATTGGACGGAATGCGTCAATAGCGCCGCCATCTTGCTACAGGGTAGCGCTCCTTTAAAATGAATGCGGGACCAAGGTACAATGGAGGACTGTGGCCATCCAAAGCCAGAGATATACACATATACACATATATCTATGATCGAGAGTTTTCCTGGATGTTAGTATGTAATTTTTTTTCTAATTACAAAAATTATAATCTTACACCACTTTTCTGCATTCATGGATCAGTGATCGCTGGCATTCCTGACAAAAAGCGTGTGTTTGTGTGTACAGAAACATACTATTCTCCCTTCCTGTTAAATTTAATATAATCCGTGTCCTGAAACACAGCTCCTCTCCTGCTTTCACTTCTCATACTGATGGAGGGAGCGATTCGTTTGTGAATGAATCCCCCGAACGACTCCTTCACTAGCCGACAATAATACAAGTTTCTGGCAGCTCTGCATCTCGTTGTCATTTTCTTTTGCATTGTTTGCTGATTTTATTCAACAAAACTAGCATAAGTCGAGTGTTTAGTGCGAGTTGGAGCTGCTTATGGTGAATGCAGTAAGTGACTGTTATCATCAATACAGTACCTGATTAGCACAAAAGTTCAGAACATACAAAAACAGAAAAAAACTTAATATTACCTTTGAAATGTTCTGCCTTTGTGCTTTGTTTTCTTTGTTTGCTCGTTACTACACCCGTAGACAGCGCTAAAGTCCCGCATCTTCACGTAATAACACTGTCTTGACTAGTGCGGTTGAATGACATTTGTCCTGAGAGCACTGTACCAATGTGGCGGCGCTATTGACGCATGCTGAGGGTCCCTATGCGATATCTAGTGTATATATCTTTGAGAATGACCAAGAGGCGACACTCATTAGAACGTTCCATTGCAACAGCAGCGCCCAGCAACAGCCCCAGATTCCGCCATTTTGGAGTGAAAGCGATCGGCTGTCCATTGGATCTTATTGCTGTTGCGATGGCGAGCAGCTGCTTTGTTTTTTATTTATTTAAAAAGTGCATTAAGGCTGAGATACAACCTGAAAGACGACAATACAACACTTCCTATCACAATCATCAGCACTTTTATTAGTTTATTTTACAGACTTATAATATGCTGTTGATCTATTGGAGTTCTCATTCCAAAATGGCGGCAGCGCCCTCCAGTGGCTGTTTACCATAGATATATACACTAGATATAGCATAGGGACCCTGAGCATGCGTCAATAGCGCCGCCACATTGGTACAGTGCTCCCAGGACAAATGTCATTCAACCGCACTAGTTAAGACAGTGTTATTACGTGAAGATGCGGGACTTTTTTCAGGACATGGATTAGATCAAATTTAACAGGGAGGGTAGATAGTACATTTTTGAACACACAAACACAAGCTTTTTGCCAGGAACACCAGTGCGATCACTGATCCATCAATGTAGAAAAGTGATGTAAAATTATAATTTTCGTATTTAAAAGAAAAATTGCATACTAACATTCAGGAAAACTCCCAATCATAGATATATGTGTATATGTGTATATCTCTGGCTTTAGATGGCCACAGTCCTCCACTGTACCTTGGTCCCGCATTCATTTCAAAGGAGCGCTACCCTGTACCAAGATGGCGGCTCTATTGACGCATTCCGTACAATAGAAAACAATAGGCCAGGCAACATCTAATGTATATATCTATGGCTGTTTACCATATTGCACTAGAGTGTCGCCTCTTGGTGATTCTATGCTCTTTGTTTTTGCTGGCTGTATTTGGGTGGAGTGATACACAAAGGGTAAAGAGGCTGTACGGGTGCTGATATTACTTAAATAAGATCAGATATAAGATCTTAAATAAAATCAGATTTGAGAACCAGACAGTACTGTTGTATAAAAATACATATAAACGCATTTAGATCATTTACTATAATCAGTACAATTGGACTGTGAAGAGACTTTCAACCAGCACAACAACACATTTTCTGAAGACAATCACCTACTGCACCTTTAAGGCAACTGATATGAAACTAAAAACCAAATTCGCTTTAACAAACTTTCTGAAAACCCATGGAAAATGTTCTCTACTACATTTTCGACCTCATAAAATTATCTAGCAACATGTTTTCCTTTTATAAATCAATTGTCCACATCGTGTTTGGTAATGAAGTGATTTTGGTTAGGTTTAGATCTACTTTAAAGTGTTCGTTGTGCATTATCTCTTACTCATGATTGACTGTTTCATCGTCAGCATCCTTGTCCTTGAATTCCAGTATATCCTGAAAACTTTGCATGTACCTACAGAGACGCAACACAAACAAATAATGAGCTAATCTACAGACAAGTATTAGAACAATAAGACTTCGCACATGAATTCCGACTGACCAGCTCTGCACCAGCCGCACTGAAGGAGTTCTCAGAAGGTTGTCAGGAAGCAAGTCGATTTCTTTCATTATATTCGCCAGCCTGACGGGCAGCTCCTGCCTTAAGAATGTAAATGACGTTTTCTCACAGGCGTTCTCCGAACCTGCAGAGAAAAGTGTGCACGGAAAACAACAAGCACAATGAGATCGGTGTTAACTGATACATTTATGTACATTAACTTTACTCCCTTGTTAAGCATTTAGGATTCACCTTTAGATTTTTATGCACTGCTTCATTAAGCTTTGAAACTTTCCCAAACCTTTTGTTTCACATCAATGATTCAGAGCACATATTAAACTGGCACGTAATTTTACCAAACAAGGCTTCACTACAGTTTCGAGCATCAATAGTTCTACACTGGGGGCGATCTGTGTATTTACTACAGTGTATTTGGTATTGATGATGGCATCAGATTGCTGATTAGACTGAAATTGTGAGGATGTTTGCAGGTCTCTGTTCAAAAGAGTTAATCTGTGAAGAGTGTTACGTGTCTACTGTTCTTGTGACCATCTGGTGCTATTATCAAGAGACTAGTTTTGCTGGAGCTCACAGTTGGAGGTGGTTTCCTGTATTGTCTTTTAGTGTGTGTGTGTGTGTGACATCTTACCTAATGATTGTGTTTAAATGCAGTGCTATACCGCCTTAGGGCCCGTTTACACCTGCTATTCAAATGCATTTTGAATCACAAAGGAAGACACGTTCCCATTATATGTTATGTTAAAAACTTATTAAGATATTGTACATATTTACATATACTTCGTTCAATCTCGTCAAATGGTTATTGCTTTAAATATGCGTGACTTTTTGTTAATAAACCTATGTAAGTCTTTAAATAATGGTAAAAATGTATAAAAGTAAATATTATAGTGAATATAAAAACAGGACACATTTTAATGCATGGTGGAACTTGCACTTTTATTGTTTTGACCCACACAAACACACATTTTTTTGTATAAATTAACATTATTAATATACATATTTGTACATACATTTATGTATGCGTGTATACCAAACAAGCAAATGGACAAGTGTGCTATTGTTAAACGGGGACTCCAAAATAATATGAATAGATATGCATTATTTTAGACTTTTAGAATATATATTTTTACAATATTTCTTTTAAGGTTTTACACCACACCAAGACTCAATACCTCATTTTGTGTTTTCAAACACAACCCCTTTTACATCTTAATCTGGCCTACCACATTGATAACTATGTATTTATTTAATTATACTTTTTATATAAAAATATTATTAAAATGGCCTGATTGAAACAGCTCATTTGTAGATGGTTCCTCACATAAACAACAACGTCAGAACCTTCCACAGAGATAAGCTTGTTTATCAGCTGTTTCATAAATGCAGTTACAGTTGCAAAAAAAAACTGTTGAACTCATAACAGTATCTCAAAATAATGTATCCGTGTTATTCTTAAAAATTCTGCTTTATTACTTTTATTTTCTTTTGGTTGTCTGAATGTCCAAAAGTGCAAATATGAAACCAATTTTACCTCAATCTAAAATATTTACCCACAATGTTCGGACTCTTTATAGACCTGCTGTTTGTTTACACTACAGTAAGACTTCATTTGGAAATGTTAGTTAATTATACTAAACTTAACAAAGGAAAAATGCTGGTAAAGCATTTTTTTTTGTTGATGTTTAATAAATTATTACAATACATTTTTTTAACATAACTTCAATAACAAATGTAAAAGCTAGAGAATATTTTATGCAATTCAATTTAATTGGTTTACTCTGAAAATTTATATACAATATAGCAATAAATAATTTTTTGTATTACCCATGAAAAAGAACCCTTTTGTGTTAATATTGTGATATATATATATATATATATATATATATATATATATATATATATATATATATATATATATATATATATACAGTTGAAGTCAGAATCATTAGCACTCTTTAAAACAGTATATCTGATAATGATTTTTCTTTTGGAGAAAGCCTTATTTGCTTTATTTCGGCTGGAATAAAAGCAGTTTATACATTTTTTTTTAAGGTCAAGTCCATTTTATGATCAATGTTATTAGCCCCTTTAAGCTATATTTTAAATGAACAAGTGTGCAATAGTCTACAGACCAAACTATCCTTATACAATAACTTCCCTAATTAACCTAGTTAAGTCTTTAAATGTCACTTTAAGCTGTATAGAAGTGTCCTGAAAAATATCTTGAAAATTATTCTTTCGTCGTCATGGCAAAGCTAAAATAAATCAGTTATTAGGAATGGATTATTATTAGTATTATGAATAGAAATGTGTTGAAAAAAAACTCTGTTAAACAGATTGGGGAAAAATAAACAGGGGGGCTAATAATTCTGACTTCAGCTGTAAATTTACACACATTAAAACTCATTCAAGTCTGAAATTATTACACTAACCCCTAGGAAATTCTGACTTTGTTACTTTTATTTATTTATTTATTTTTTAACCAGAAATGACAGTTTTCTCCAAAAAGATAATAAGATGATGTACAAGAGGCATTGTGTGAAAAAAAAGATATTTCTCAGCTTTTATTTACATTTGAACGAAAAACTTTAAGTCAGAAGGGTTACATTTTTACCTAATGTAATTTCTTAATTGATGAGTTTTGACATACTGATGAGCTATTGGTTTATATTCTGCATTATGAATGCATCTTTTATTTTATTTTTTTATTTCACTTATAACAACCTCAATGTATTCTATTATATGCGATTCAGTAATTTTTCAAACTCTTATTTTCTGTTTAGTTCTAGTGCTGAATTGTGGAAAAGTGAATGCAGTCTTACCAAAATCTATGAACTGCTTCATAGACAGAGGAGAAGGAGAGAATCTGGAGTAGAAGTCGATTTGCTTGGACGCTGCGTTCAGTAAAGTCCTGAAGATCCTCATGTTGGCGTCTTTTTGCGGTTTAATTCTTCAGAAAATCCAGAAATCAGAGTCCTGTAGTGTTTCTGAGCGCATTTTCTCGTCCGAGTATTAAAAACAGCAGAGAATTGTGTACGTTAGACGTTTCTCGTAGCATAAAGTTGACTGTCAGTCATGTCCTCACAGGAAGATATTCAATCTTCTTTGTCACCCAATAAAGCCACTGCAGTCATGACATTAATAATATAACCTTCAAGACACGCGGGTAATCCTGCAGTGATGTGTGTATGTGTGTGTGAACTCATATGAACCGCAGGAGCATCAGTGAACACTGGGCCGCGTTCACATAAACACTGCGATGAAGCCTATAAATAACACTTGCTGAGCCCCGAGGACGCTAAACACTATAGAAAGCCGTAATCTTTGAGGTGTTTCCTCGCTTGGTTATCTGTCTGGTCCGTCAGACTGCTGTAAACAAGCTGACTCGTGCTAATACTGCGCTGAATACTGACTGCAAAGACGTCTCGGTACAGAATAGCGCGTCCACTCTGTTTACTTCCGCCTTGCGTCGTAGAATCACGTGACTTGCAGAGAGAGCGCTAAACCGATTTAACCATATGCTTTTTTACCAAGCGGCAACCTCCTGTTCTCCCGACCCTCGTGAAGCCAATACGGAGGTAACTGAAACTGCAATTTATCGAAATTCCGCTAGTCCTGGCTCCATAATAGAGCACATTTCTATTGACCCCACTGTTAAAATAGCAAACTTTTCAGCAGGAACAAATGTGTTTACAGCCTGGTACAAAAAAAAAAAAAAAACTATTTTGGTTATTATAGCCTAGCTAATATTACTCTTCATGACAACGGTGAGGGGGGTGAATTTTTTTTATAACTCATCCGTTTCCTTTATATTAGGTTATATTAAGTCTGCATAATTAAGGGCGTGGCCACTTGAGTGACAGGTCTCGCTGGTCACTGTCACTTGACCTCAGCTGATTCCGGCTGATTAGCAGCTGAACTCGGCATATACATCGTGTTTTTGTTTTGTTGTTTATGGGTTTACACAGTCAGTTGCCTTTTGGAAATATTCCTTACAATTATCAGATGATATGGCATGCTGTGTCCACTTAATTGTGCTCACAAACCATTCACAAAGCCTCCGTTTCCCAGGCGAGTGAAATTATACACCATCACTTTATTGATATAGGACACAACCAAACACATGTGGTCAGAACACAAACGAGTCACAGGTAATGAAGGTTTTCTCCCATAGAAAAGCCTGTCTAAGCAAAATGCTAGCAGGCGTTTGTAGCTCCGCTTATGCCTCCTTGCCCTTGTTTGGTATTTCCTGGTCGGTGCGATGACACGCGAACAAATGGCGACGGTTCAATAATATCTGGATGCAACCTTTATGATGCAAGCTGAGATTGCATCACTCAGCGATGCAATGTCAGACACAATGCACTCAAATGGAGTGATATACGTCACTGTGACGGGTAGGGTTAGGAGCGGGGTTAGGTGGGTCCATTAAAAAGCATTGGATTGCAGATTGCACTGCACCAGGGCTGCATCCAGACCACTCTCCGACGGTTGGCCACGGCTACTTGTAGCTTCTTTTGGGTTCTTCAGAAACCTATAGGTGACATCACAGATACTACGTCCATATATTTTACAGTCTATGGTTTTAATCCATTCGGACCCATTCATTCCCAAAAAACACTATTTACTCACCCTCAAGTGGTTGCAAATTTCTTATGAGTTTTTTTCTCGATTGAACCCAAAAGAAGAGCTGAAAACCTGTATTTATTGAATTCCATAGAAGAAAAAACAAATACTATGATGCTACAGGTTTCCACTTTTGTGTTCAACAGAAAAAAAAACACTTAAACATGTTTGAAACAAGTAAAGGACCTGAAAATCAAGTTTGTAACCTTTACAAATAAAAGATCAACAATTTGCATTATCTTTTTTTTATTTCATGTTAGTGTAGACCATTTTGTAGGATGTAAACAAAAATATTGGTCCCAACATATTTCCTGTTTTACATTTTTTAATTTCTACAGCTTCTGAGAATCCGAAAAGAGTCACATATTGATAGATAATGTTATGATAGCTCTATCATTAAGCTAAGCTTAAATTGCCTCTTGTTACAGTTATGAAATAGTTTGATAACAAGCAGGAAATGTTCATGGGCCAATAACATGACCACATTGAAATCCATTAAAGTTTTTTCGGCCTCTGTCGTAAATTCGACTTCTTATTAATTAGAAATGATCAGACCGGAGGTTTTGAATATCAAAAAATAGACTTTATTCTTCATAATAAAGCCGAGAAAGAGCAGAGCAGAGCAGACCTCATAGCATTCTCCTCCTGCTCCTTCTAAACTTTCAGTGTGTTTCCAAAATCTTTATACATGTTTTTATGACACACCCCTTTGGGTCTCTTTTTAACTCTTGACCATTTTTGAATAGGTTTTTAGTCTAAGGCAGGGGTCAGCAACTCGCGGCTCTTTAACGTTGCCCTTGTGGCTCCCTGGAGCTTTTTAAAAAATGTTTGAAAATGGAAAAAGGTGGGGGAGGTTAATATATTTTTTTGTTTTAATATGATTTATATAGGAGGACAAACATTTTAACGTTTTCAAATGCTGTAAAAGTGTGTAGAATTAATATTTAATTTCAACATTTCTGTTAGCGAAGATTTGCGTCATAGCCTGCGACACACCTTTCTATCAGCAGGGTGGGATGCCAGGCAGGTGGCTGTTGTAAACAAACCGGGAGATAATAAAGCACGGAAAACCGTTCACAGATGGTGACTACATGAAGGAGTCATTCATCAAAATATTAGAACACCTATTTGCAGACTTCAAAAACAAAACCAAGATAATACAAAAAATTAAAGACATACCTCTCTCCGCTACGACAGTAAAGGAAAGGGCTATTAAAATGGCAGGTAACATCACCGATCAGCAAACCAAGGACATTAATTCAGTGCCCGCATACTCAATTGCCTGTGATGTGACCGCTATTAAACGCGCAGGTATGTGAAGTCCGATGGGCCGCAAGAAGAAATGATCAAATTAATACCACTGAAAGACCAGAGGCTGTGCTGTGTAAATAAACACCAACCACCTGATTTCAGTGGCTATTTAATCGTGAAGGCTCATTATGTATTTTTAGCCAACTTAGTCATTTTTATAGTAGGCTAATATAGCTAATATAGATACATACAGCATGTGTTTCCTTCATTATAAGGTTATATAAGGCTTTACATTTTTTGCGGCTCCAGACATATTTGTTTTTTGGTTTTTTTGGTCCAATATGGCTCTTTCAACATTTTGGGTTGCCGACCCCTGGTCTAAGGGGTCCTGCTATACTTGGCTCTCAGCCCACTAGCTCATGTCAACAGAGATGTTACAGGTCTGTGTCAGCAAAGTATAGATGCAACTTATGCAAAGGAACTAAGTGTTTACATACATTGTTATGATAGGATAATAACTTGATAATATGTTACTCATTCTAACTTCTGACACATATAGCTTCATACATATATGATCAGTGCTTTACATATTCAGTTATTCTACACAATCAGTCACTCAGCCTTCTCCTACTGTTGCTCCTTTGCAGGCATACATATCTTACACAGACATATCACTGTATTTTTAACACAGGCTGGCATGTTTGCTGCAAACCCTACATACATTTTGTGAAAAGAAAATTAACTGCTTTACACTTAGAAAATACTTCATACAGAGAGAATAGAAATCTTCTTCACCTCCTTTATGGAAGTCTTTAAAACAGAGGAAATGCACTTTTACAGGAACACAAAAGAAGATTTATTGAAGAAAGCTGGAAACATGTCACCAGGCCGCCATTTTAAAACACGAAAGCGAGGCTGTGGTGAGAGAAAAAACCCGGAAATTTAGGATTAGAAACGTAACCATTGCAACAAAATGCTGTGGGCTACAAACCTCGAGCTGTTGCCGCAATTTCAAAATGCAAAAATGGAGAATTTAGCTCCAGCTTGCCTCAACAGACTTGTGGGAGCTAAACTAATACAGTGGCTCGTCAAGTGAGATTGGCTACCCCTGGATTAGGGCACAGGGATGAGTCCTTCTGAATGGAACACAGTGAGAGACAAACTAAAATGTTTGCTGTGGAGTTTGATCTTTGTCACTCTGACATCTAGTGGAAGATCTGTGACTGCAGTAAATAGCTGTTTTGAACACATTCCCTCCCGCCTCAGTCACAGAACCAGGAAGTTGTTTCAGCTTTTTAGAGAAAGTGAAAATACAGCATGTGTAAATACAGCAGTGTAAATACAGCGAAATGGCAGAAGTTGGTTTTTCTCAAGACTAGTTCATCTGTCCTGTATGTCTGGATCTACTAAAGGATCCGGTGGCCATTCCGTGTGGACACAGTTACTGTATGAGCTGTGTTACAGATTGCTGGGATCAGGAGGACGAGAAGGGAGTCTACAGCTGCCCTCAATGCAGACAAACATTCAGTCCAAGACCTGCTTTAAATAAAAACTCCATTCTTGCTGAATTAGTGGAGCAACTCCAGAAGACTAAACTCCAAGCTTCTGTTCCTGCTGGACTTGGAGATGTGAAGTGTGACGTTTGCTCTGGAAGAAAACAAAAAGCTGTCAAGTCCTGCCTGGTGTGTCTGAACTCCTACTGTCAAAATCACCTCCAGCAACACGAGAATTTCTTCAAAGGTAAGAGGCACAATCTGATAGATGCTACAGGACGACTCGAGGAGATGATCTGCCCAAAACACAATAAAGCACTGGAAATCTTCTGTCACACGGATGAAGAGTGCATTTGTTACCTGTGTACGATGGACGATCACAAAAACCACGATACAGTCGCAGCTGAAGCAGAGAGGACAACGAAACAGGTATGAACCTGAAAGGTGTTTGTGACCCTGAAGCACAAACCTAGTCATAAGTGTCAGTTTTTGTAAAGATTTACGTGTTATCTAAACAATAAATAAATAAGGTTTCCATTGTTTGTTGGGTAAGGAGAAATATTTGGCTAAAATCTGAGGTCTCAAAAAACTATTGCACCCCTTAGCTAGAGGGCCCTATTATACACCTGGTGCAATGTGGCGTAAGGCGCGACATAATTGTTATTTACTAGTTTCAGCTCCGCGCAAGAGTTGTTTTGACATTTTAAGCCATGCTGTTTAAATAGCAAATACATTTACGCTCATATGTGTGCCCATAGGCGTTCTGGTCTAAAAAGGCAGGCGTGTTTTGGCGCGTTGCTATTTTTAGAACCGATAAAAGTCTGTTCTTTAGACCAGAGCAAAGCCTGTCTATTGTCCGGCGCAGTTGCGCCTCGCTTACACACTGCTTAATACATACAAGATGTAGAGCAATACGCAGATATCTTTACATGAAAAAGAATTAAAATATTAAGGATATATATAGGATATAATAATGATATATATAGGACGTAAACTAATTATTAAAATATTACAAAACATATTATTTTCTAGCCTACATAAATATAAAAACCACTGCCTTCCTACTTTCTTCATCTCGGGAGGCTTTTTCAGTTCATTCAGTTTGCTTTTGTATAATGTTATTATTATTAGCAGTATTATTTATTATATCCATATTTATATTTGATTATTAAAAACAAGCTTAGATTTGCCCACCTGTCAGGTTTTAGACCATATGGGGCACAGCATGTGTTTTAGGATATAACTCAGGTTTTTGAGCACATTTTGTTATTATTGTTCATTTATTTGTTTGCTGGAAATTAGAACTGAATTTAGAAACAGTTATAAAACAGATATTTGCGCTTAACAAACTAAATTAATTATTTATAGGTTAATGGATATCTGTGTGTACAAGGTTTCCCTATCCACGAGAGCGAAAGTGAAAGTAGATTATGAGATGCCTTATCTCTCATTCTCGCGCTGCAGATGCTCTGTTTAACTGTTTTTGTTTTGCTAGTGAAATGCTCAGTTTTTCCACTTACACTTACTTTACATCATGTAAATAGCAAATGTGCCATGGGGCGACGCAGCTGGGTCTTAAAGGGAATGGGAGATGAGACTCTGATTGGTTTATTCTCAAAACACACCTATAACTCATTAAGAAAATAAACTCTACCCTTTTAGACCATGTGCCACGGCGCAAAGTGGATTTTTCCGTCCTTATATTCGCAAAAGTGGATTCTGACACACCCTGAAAGCGTTTGCGCCCTGCGCTATATGCACTTTGCGGATGGACTGTCAAAATAGAGCCCAGAAGGTGCATCTCAAATCGCATACTCATGCACTATTCTGCACCATTTTGTAAGTTGTTCATACTGAAAACTCTAAAAAGAATACGTCCACTTTAAACACCAGGGCCCGGTTTTTCAAAAGTAATCCACTAGGATTTTGGATAAGGGATTGGATCAAATCTTGAAAATGTTTTTTTTTAAAGAAAAAACGGATTATATAATCAGATTAGATCACGTAATCCAATCTTGGTTTTGATCCGGATCAAACCTTTAGTTTGGATTTTTCAGACATTTTTTGTAGGATCTGGATCACTTTGATCCATAAGACCTGGATTAAACTGATCCCATCAGAAGGGTGGATTCAGTGTGGATTTCATGGCTAAAATTTAATGAAAACTTTAAAAATGTATTAAATAATACTATTTTTGGATCATGCAGAGTCTTACGAGATATACTACTTATTCATAAGGTTTTAATTTTATTTGTTCATCCGTCAGGCTATAGTGAGTATAGGCTTTAACGTATTCAGCCTTTCAGTATAGGCCTACAGCAAAGTAGAAAGAGTTTGGCCTCATAAAATAATCCCCCAAACAGCTGTCAAAATTGACCAAAAACAGTACATTTTTTTCTGTCACTAATTGATATATATATTCATCACAATGGAAAATATTTTTCTTTTTAGAATATTTATTAGTGATGCATGCAATGATTACAGAATAACAAAAAAAAAAAAATTGCAAAGAATGGCAATCGCTAATTTTTGAAATCACTTTCAACAATTGCAAAAAGAGACTGAAAGGGCAGAAGCACAGCTTCATCTGGCAGAGGAACAACTGACTCTAACCAAACTGCAGCAAACCAAGGCCAATGACTAGAGATTCGCCTCCTAAAGGCTTTGCTCAGCAAGCTGGTCTCTCCACATCAGATGAGGAAGTCTAAAATTATTGTGGAGTTTTTGACATTCAGTCTTTTTTTTATTTACATCTATATTTGAAACTTATTATAAATATCCTCAATGTACAGTGTTTGTGTTATAGGTCTCAGATGAGCGGACTGCTGGAGGAGGATGGGGTGGTGGTTTTCTTGTTTTTATTATTATTTATTATTATTATTATTATTATTTTAATAATTATCAAATTTTCTTAGTTTTCATTTCAAATAAAAATAAAGTTATATCGGCCCCACACTAGCTATTCTACTTGTCGCTCTTTACATATCTATAGTTCTACATTGTGATGTCCTGTCCTGTTTGAGCTCTGGTTATCCAGATTTAGTGATCCTGAAAAGTTCCTATCCGGATCAGATTGATCCAATCCGATGTTGCTTTGAAAAACTGGCTCAAAAAGTAAGCTGGATTACCTGATCACGGATCGCAAAAACAGGATTACTAAATCTGGATCAATTTTATCCGGATTAAACCTTTTGAAAAACCGGGCCCAGGATGATGCACTTATTCAACCGTTAAAAATAAGTGTGGAATGATGGACACTTCACGCACGCAACAGCAACAGCAACTGCTGATTGTGGATTTCTTTAAAGCTTAAAAATCTCACATCATGAGAAATGTGTCACAGCTCTAGCTCATTATTCGATTTCCCTACAGGTGGTTTTGGAAGAAAGAAGGATTAAGTTCCAGCAGAGAATCCATCAGAGAGAAAGAGACCTTGAGGAGCTCGAACAGGCTATAGAGTCTCATAAGGTGAGATTTGGGGGAGTTTTGAGATTTAGTCTGGATTCTCCTCCAGTGCTCATTTAGTGTTACCGAAGTTTGCTTTGATTCTCAGGTTGTGGGAGTCATGCCTAAGAACTGATTGTGATGTTTGTTGTTGCAGCTTTCTGCGCAGAAAACAGTGGAGGACAGTGAACGGATCTTCAATGAGCTCATCCTTTCTATTGAGAAAGGGCGCTCTGAGGTGACACAACTGATCAGAAATCAGGAAGAGGCTGCAGTGAGTCAAGCTGAAGGATTCATGAAGGAACTGGAGCAGGAGATTTGTGATCTGAAGAGGAAAGATGCTGAACTGGAGCATCTTTCACACACAGAGGATCACATCGGTTTCCTAAAGGTAACATCTGAAATAACGATGGGGAGGGCAAGGTGAAATTGCTGGTTCGTTTTAGGTGTGGTGACCCCTTATAAAGCAGGATTAAGCCGAAGGAAATTGAGTAAGTGAGAGTGTTGTGTTGTCAGTTGTACCAGAAGCCCAGGCCCGGCCCTAACCAATTTGGCGCCCTAGGCAAGATTTCAGGTGGCGCCCCGTCACATCGCAGTAAATTCCACTGCTAGTGTAAAGTCATAAGAAACTAAACAGCTTTTTGATCAACTCCTACAAGCTGGGAAAATGTCAGATAAATATGCCAATGCAATTAACATTATTGCTGAATAGATCTAACATTTACACATTTGCTTGAGGAAGGAATGATGGGGTAGTTACATTAATATTACTATTTTCCAAAACATCTATGCCCTTCCATAACACTAGCTGATGTAAAACTAACAGATAGCACTATAGCTATTTAATGATTAGCAATGTTATGTCATATCTATCAACTTTGGGATGTTAAAATATGGGACAACAAATAGCTTCAAATGATAGAATACATAGCAAACAATAGAAAATATCGACAATAAAATAAAAGGTTTAACCAATTAAAATCAATGGCCTATACAGAAATTAAATAAAGCTATAAAATCTATTTAACTTTTAATTGTATTTGCATATTGATTAAAGTTACTATAGTTATTTAGTGAAGAGCAACAAATGAATCTCTCATTGTGTTTTGTTTGATGACAGAGGTGTTAATGTAAGAATGCACAGATCTATAATGAATGTAGGAATGAAGCATTCGACTACTTTAGTAACTGTTGTGCTCATTTAAGAGAAAATTAGTTGTGTTTAAAATAAAACAAGCAGGATAGAGCAAAAAAAAAAAAAAAAGAAAAAAATAGAAAAAAAGAAGCACTTTTCCGACGGTCCCTTACGGAGAGCTCCACTCCGCGCAAGCTCAGCTCTCCCGGCTAAACGCTTATCCCAGGCTAAACGGAGCAGTGCTCGCAATATCGAGCGAAAAAAAGGGAAAAAGACAGCTGTGAAACATAACCAGCTTTGTCTTTTTGTAGGAAACAAACTTTAGATCTTTTTAGGGTAAGAGGTTTTTGAGTTATTGCCATCTATCACTGAATGTGTGTCAGGAATATTGAAAACAAAACCAACTTGACCCCGCTCATTTCTGGCGCCCCCTGGATGTACAGCGCCCTTAGCATACTGCCTATGCCACTGGCCGGCCCTGCAGAAGCCTAATTCGAGATGTAATGTGACATTTTGAAAAACCAAATTGACCAAAAGAGGAGTTTTGTAGGATTAACATTGGAAGTAGAAGTATCCATATAGTATCCATATAGTATATGGATCCATAGTAATAACTAAAACATATGGTTACCTCAAATGTCCAAAGTTAATACAACAAAATAGATTTCATTTTTTTCTTCTTCAAAAAATACATGTATTTCATTATTCATTTTAAACTGTCATTATCAAGTCAATTGTGAAATATACCAAATTTCGCTGTCAGGAGCTCAAAGACCACAACATCCTCAGTTTCATACAATACTGACACCCACTGGTAAACTGAGAACTTCAAACACCAATTTTTTATGTAAAGCCAAATCCCGCAGGGGTATCAAACTCAGTTCCTGGAGGGCCGCAGCCCTGCACGGTTTAGTTCCAGCTCTGCTTCAACACACTTACCAGTAGGTTTTAAACAAACCTGAATTACTCAATTAGTTTGATTAGGTGTGTTTAATTAGGGTTGGATCTAAACTGTGCAGAGCTGCGGCCCTATAGGACCTGAGTTTGACACCTGTGCCTTAAAGCATTGTTTCAATTCAAGTTACATTGTTCACTGATATCTACATAGTCGGTATGTGGCTTAGGTGAGTAAAAAATATACAGAAAAGGTTTTATATTGTCATTTATAACTCGTTCATAATTGACCATATTTGAACCGGTCTGATTAATAATTACTGATTGCTTATTACAGTGTACAGTGGAAGTTATGTTTCAAGACAATTTGAATAAAAAATGTTTTTAATTAATTTTCTTCTCATAGAGTTTCCAGTCTCTTTCTGAACCTCCTGAATCTACAGATGTGCCTAACTTCAGCTCTATGCAGCCTTTTGATGACATTGGAAGGTCTGTGTTTCAAATGAAAGAAAAACTGGAGAATTTCTGTAGAGAAGACATTGACAAGATGTCTGGCCGAGGTAAAGAGTCCGACAGATATTTTTTCTTATAAATGCGTCTTGCATCAATGCATTATACAGCCATGGAAAAGTTTAAGAGAAATTTTCTCTAAATGTATTGGATTTATTGTTGTTTGAATATTTGTATTATTTTACAAAGGTTTGTTATAAAGTCTGTTTCAAAAACATTCAAATTTTAATTTCTTACATCTTCTAAAGCAGTGGTTCCTAACCTTTTTAGCACCGCGAACCACTCAACACTTGACAACTTTACTGTGAACCACGGTTGTTGGGGTGGGAGGGAGGTGTGCGTAGATTAGGTGACCATCAAACCTTTTTTTCAGATGATGACAACCTGACAAAACATTGCTGCAACTCTGATAGAAGTTTTATTTATGAAAAAAAATTTAAACCATTGCAGTGTTTGGGTGTTCCATGTTTGAGATAGACTACCGAAATGTGTATTCCTTACAAACAGAAAGCTAATCGGTCAGTTCTGGTCACGTGACGCTCTCAGCATTCTGAAACTTTAGCCTTCTAGCTGTTTTTAACTGGGTGCGCCTAGAAGGTCATGCTCCTAGTATGCACCCCTCAAGCCGCGTGCCTCCATTGGAAATAATGAACTTGTGCATGGAAAAGATAGGACCAACTGATACACAGACCGGTACCGGTCCATGGCCCGGGGGTGAGGAACCACTGTTCCAAAGTTAAACCATTGCTGTTGTGCTGTCTAAAAATGTATGTCTGTAAACAATGAATTACTTACTTATTTTGACATGGTAATTTGTTGCCAAATTTCCATTGTATGCTCTTCAATGACAACATTTTAATTTCAAATTTAGAAGAAATACAGTTTACAGAACAAAACACAGATTACAATTTACTCAAGCACAAACATGTATATTAATTCAGGAAAAAAAGAGTTTGCAAATGATGTATAATAGGTATTTAATAATAAACGACAAATATACATATTTGCATTAAAGGCCACCAATCAGCAGTTTGAATGGTAATGTGTGTAGGAATAGTGCAGGGGTGGTCAACCCTGTTCCTGGAGAGCCACCTTCCTGCAGATTTCAGTTGCAACCCATATCAAACACACCTGAACCAATTAATTAGGACCTGAACACCACGTGATAATTACAGGCAGGTGTGTTTGATATGGGTTGCAACTGAAATCTGCAGGAAGGAGGCTCTCCAGGAAAAGGGTTGGCCACCCCTGGAATAGTGTGTGCATAGCCTTATTATTAAGTAAGTAATGTGTATTTATATAGCACATTTATTGTGTATGGCCATACACCCAAAGCGCTTCACAATCATGCCGGGGGGATCCACTTACATCAGGCGTGTCCAAACTACGGCCCGCGGGCCATCTGCGGCCCGCAATCAGTTTTGTGGCGGCCCGCGAGGCTTTTTATAAATATCAATAGAATCTGGCCCGCTATACAAAAATGAACGTAATTCAATAAATAACCACTATTGTCGCTATTACATGCATTCAATTAAGCAGCAGTTCTTGTTATGATCTATCTATCTATCTATCTATCTATCTATCTATCTATCTATCTATCTATCTATCTATCTATCTATCTATCTATCTATCTATCTATCTATCTATCTATCTCTCTATCTATCTATCTATCTATCTATCTATCTATCTATCTATCTATCTATCTATCTATCTATCTATCTATCTATCTATCTATCTATCTACACACAGTTGAAGTCTGAATTATTAGCCCCTCTTTGATTTATTTCTTCTTTTTTAAATATTTCCCAAATGATGTTTAACAGAGCAAGGACATTTTTACCGTATGTCTGATAATATTTTTTCTTCTGGAGAAAGACTTTTGTTTTATTTCGGCTTGAATAAAAAGCGGTTTAAATTTTTTTATGAACCATTTTAAGGTCAAAATTATTGGCCCTTTAACAAACCATTGTTATAAAATAACTTGCCTAATTACCTTAACTTAACTAGTTAACTTGATTAACCTAGTTAAGCCTTTAAATGTCACTTTAAGCTGTATTGAAGTGTCTTAAAAATATCTAGTCAAATATTATTTACTGTCATCATGGCAAAGATAAAATAAATCAGTTATTAGAAATGAGTTACTAAAACTAATATGTTTAGAAATGTGTGAAAAAAAAATTCTTCTCTCCGTTAAACAGAAATTGGGGAAAAAATAAACGGGGGCTAATAATTTAGGGGGGCTAACAATTCTGACTACAACTGTATATATATATATATACGTGTCTGTGTGATGTATGTAAAATTTGGCCCGCGAAAACGTTTGTCTTTTTGCATCTGGCCCTCGGCCCAAAAAGTTTGGACACCCCTGACTTACATGATGCGACAGCAGCCACAGGACAATGGCGCTAGTTTGCTCACCACACACCAGCTATTGGTGGAGTGAAGACACAGAGATAGAGCCAATTCAGTGGATGGGACAAATGGGAGGCCATGATGAGTAAGGACTGATGGAGGGAATTTGGGCAGGACAACGAGGTTAATCTTTATGAGACGTGCCATGGGATTTTTAATAACAGGACCTAAGTTTAACGTCTCATACGAAGGCACACTCACTGTATGGCATCCTCTTCACTATGCTGGGGCATTAGGACTCACACAGACCGCAGGTTGAGTGCCCCTGCTTGCCTCACTAACACCACTTACAACAGCAACCTAGTTTTCCCATGAAAAAGTGAAGCTCTATGAATACTCTCCAGATGCACTGTATGTGCGTTATGTGTCTGAGCACGTGTATTCCAGTAGATACGATCTTCACCTTGTCAAACATGGGCACATCTGTGTTTGCAGGGGCTCCGTCACAAACGGAAAAGGCACACAATGATGGAGAGAAGAAGAAAAGTGATGATGAAGCTCCTGACAACAATGAGGTAGAGTTTGACCCCATCGATCCTCTGACAGAAGTAGGGACGGGCATTGTTTACATTTTTGTCAATACTGGTTCTTATCTATACTGTTATTGATATTATTCTCTATATTTTGATGCAAAAAAAAATGAAATAATGTTGAAAATTATATTACTGTTGACCCTGTTGGTTTTGACAAACAGCAGTCTACAAATACCTGTAAGTACAACAGAAGTAGGTGCATAAAGTAAGGAGACCACAGAACTGCCACTCACTGGATATTTTCTCATTTTTGGTACCATTCTCTGTAAACCCTAGAGATGGTTATGGGTTAAAATCCCAGTAGATCAGCAGTTTCTGAAATACTCAGACCAGCCCATCTGGCACCAACAACCATGCCACGTTCAAAGTCACTTCAATCACCTTTCTTCCCCATTCTGATGCTCGGTTTGAACTGCAGCAGATCGTCTTGACCATGTCTACATGCCTAATTGCGTTGAGTTGCTGCCATGTGATTGGCTGATTGGAAATTTGCATTAACAAGCAGTTGGACAGGTGTACCTAATAAAGTGACTACAATCAACTACTGATTCCAGCGCATCTTTATCTAGTATAAAGTTTGCCGGGGTGAATCAGTTTGATTGCTTGTTCCTGATAAAGTAAGTTGGGTTTGCGGTTGTTGCCCCCAGCTAGAAAGCATCACAGCAATTCCACTATTATGATCCCCCAGAACCGTATTAGCAAAGCTGAACTGGGTCTGTGAGAGAACAGAGCGAGTATGGTTAACTGTCCCATTTGTCCTTAAGCTTATCTGTAGCCTGCTTGACACAATTTTGTACAACAGATTATTGTTACCCATCCTTAGTCAGAAGTGCTGATGTTCACTGAGCTCCTGTCACTGGCCCACAGATGCATCCTGGTGAGGAGGACGAGGAGATCCTGTTTAAGGAGAGAACCAGGTTGTACCACTGGGATGACCAGTGGAAGGACCGTGGCTTTGGGAACATCAAGATCTTCTTCCACCCACTGAAGAAGCGCTACCACGTACTGATGAGGCACGAGCAGTCGCTGAAGGTGTGTGCCAACCATAGCATCAGCAGGGGTAGCCAGCTCACCCCTATGAACACATCTGCCAACTCCCTTACCTGGACAGCCATTGACTACTCCGGTAACATATACATACATTCACATGTCTGTACACACACGTTACCACCTCACACATGCTACACACAACCCTTGCTATGCTACGAACACATACCACCACTGACTTCTCTAGTGACGCACACATTCACACTACACAAACACCACCACTAACTTCTCTAGTAGCACACAGATTCACACCGCCACACACACACTACACTACAAAATCTCAACAGACATACAACAAGCACTGGAGTCACCTACTCGAGATGTGTTTCCTCTTTCACACATACATACGGGAAGTTGAAATTCTGGATGGAAACACCATTCATATATGAACTCAGCTGAGGCAGGTATGTTTCATCCAATGAGGTGATCTGTTAATAAACTGATGGAAACATGTCATGAATAATACCCTCGTGCTAGTTCAGTGGACCAATCGCAGCATCTCGGGTGTAGTTTATGGGTTTTTATAGTTTATACATGACTGTGTGTGTATGTCTCCTCACTCAGAGGGTGATGGGAAGACAAAGCAGCTGGCAGTGAAGTTTAGGACTGCTGATCAGATGAAGAGCTTCAAACGGGTGTTCATGGACTGCCAGAGCCACGCGTTGCTGGTAGAGACACTGTCGCGAGACTCCAACCCCGTGGTGTTCTTCAGCATATCTGTGGATGGAGAGAATGCTGGGAGGATCATCATGGAGCTGTTCGCTCACATTGTGCCCAAGACAGCAGAGAACTTCCGCGCTCTGTGTACAGGAGAGAAAGGTTTCGGCTACAAAGGCTCCATCTTCCATAGGATAGTCCCTGACTTCATGTGTCAGGTAAGTACACACACGCACACACACAAACCCTCACTCATTAACTCACTTTCCTTTGTGGCTTATCATTGTTGGAATAAGGTTACACCTTGACATTGTGTGGACGTTACCACTATGACATCCAACCCAAGCTCATTCTGAAAACGTAGTCCCGCGTTTATTTTTTTCAAGCGAACGCTAAGGGCCGGTGTGACGCTGTTCCCTATCGCGCTTGCCGGCCGGCCGACTGCTTACCTCCTTGTGGAGGGCTTCCCCGCTGCAACCCGTTTGTCCACTCAGCTCACCGTGTACGTCGGCAGGCTCGAGATGCAGAGAGGAGTTGACCACGGCGATCGGTTTCGAGTCCGGGGAAGAGCGGTTCCAGCGATCAGGTAAGACAAAAACAGAATCCCAAAAATTAAGTGAACGAGTTTCGTAACAGGGTGAGAACGCGGTGAAATCCAAAAATGCGGTAGAAAAAAAAATCAGGGCTTTTCTTTTTTTGGACGGCTTTTGTAAACTGTTGCTCGGGTTTAGGGAAGCGAGCGGGCGGGCGTGTCAGTCGGTAAAATTGGTTGGGTTCAGGGAAGAAGGAGGGCGGGTCAGCTTATTGGCCGGTCGCGCAGTCAATCATCAGGTCAGTCGGACAGCGGCCTCTGGTGGGTTCACGCGAGAACAGCGCGGGCGAGAACTGCACTCGCGAGAGGCGTTTGAGATGCGAAAAAGCGCACAACAGCGGCCTCTCGCTGATTCGCAAAAACAAAAACTGCAGCCGTACGTACCGGCCGGGACATATTCCGCGGTCTCCAGAAACATCCGCGGGACTACGTTTCCACTATGAGCCTGGGTTGATGACATCTATCAGATGTTGGATTTTGGTTACTTTCCAACACAACCTAAAATCAACCAAATATCAATGTAATTTGATGTCGTTATTTGAAATATAAAATAACGTTGGCCTTAGACTCTGGCTAGACAGAATTTTGGCCATCTGACGTCATGACCGAAATCAAACCTAATATTAACATCTTATGATGTTGTGTGCCTGCTAGGATGTGTTCTGCTCCTCAGTCTCAGTTTCTGCTGATGTGTTGTTTGCGTGTTTCAGGGCGGTGACATCACCCATCAGAACGGCCGTGGCGGACGCTCCATCTATGGGGATTATTTCGAGGATGAGAGCTTTGAGGTGCGGCACACCGGGCCAGGCATGCTGTCCATGGCCAACTGCGGCAAAGATACCAACAGCTCACGGTTCTTCATCACACTGAAGAACACTGAGCACCTGGACTTCATTCATGTGGTGTTCGGCTTCATCAGGGAGGGCATGAATGTGCTTAGGAGGATTGGTGAGATGGGCAGTAAAGAGGGCAAACCCACACACCGCATTGTCATCCAGGACAGTGGACAGCTGTGAGCCTAGGTGCACACACTTGTACATGTATAATGGACTGGAGGACATTGATCATGATGGTCTACATTAGCGGTGCTCAGAGATGGGAAGTAACTAAGTACAAATACTTCGTTACTCTACTTAAGTAGATTTTTCTGGTATCAGTACTCTACTATTTTCTGACAACTTTCTACTCCTTACATTTTTACACAAATATCTGTACTCTCTACTCCTTACATTTTAATCAGTCTCGTTACTTTCGTTTTCATGTGTTTGGTGGTGCAATCTATTTGATTTCTTGTCATTACGCAATTTGAGCACCTTTTGGTGCAGTCTGTCTATTTTTCAACCCTGGTTTATTCTGAAAACGTAGTCCTGTGGACATTTCTGTAGACCGCGAATTCCTAGCCGGAGGTATGTATGGCTGCATTTCATTTTTTTAAGCGAACGCTACGGGGCAGTGTGACGTCGTTCCTTTTGGTGCTCACTGGCTGACCGCTTACCTCCGTGTGGATGGCTTTCCCACCACAACCAGTTTGTCCGGTTAGCTTGTCGTGTACGCCGGCGGATTTGAGACGCAGAGAAAGAGTTGACCAAGACGACAACGACCGGGCTTGGGTCCGGGGAAGAGCGGTTCCAGAAATCATGTAAGACAAAAACAGAATCCAAAAAATAAAATGAACAAGTGAACAACAGGGTGAGAATGTGGTCAAATCTGAAAATGTGGTAAAAATCCGACGAGGGCTTTTCTTTTTCTGGACTGCTTTTGTAAGTTGTTTAGGGTTTAGGGAAGTAAGTGGGTGGCCGGGTCAATCCGTGAAACTGGTTGGGTTTAGGAAAGAGGAGGGTGGGTCAGTCGGTTTGGCTTGTTGCCCAGTCAATCATTCAGTCATTTAGCCGGACGACAGCGGCCTCTAGTGGGTTCACGCGAGAACAGCGCAGGCGCGAACGGCACTCGCGAGAGACATTTGAGATACGAAAAAGTGCACACAGCGGCCTCTCGTGGATTCACGAAAACAAAAACTGCAAAAATAAGTACCTCCCAGGATGTATTTTGCGGTCTCCAGAATTGTCCATGAGACTATGTTTCAGAATGAGCCTGAGTTGCTATTTTTCGTGCCTGCGTGCTACAGTGCACTGGCTGCCGACAGTGCACTGGCTTTTTCAACCAAGGCTATCACGCGCCATACGTAGGCTAGTTTAAAACGATTACTATGAGAAAGGCAAGGATGACTACAGAGGGAGACGGTGAGTTTAACATGACTGATGCTGCCCTGTTTACTCTGTAATAAGACACATTTTGCTAGACCAGATTACAGGTAAACGAGAGACACGTTCCAGTTCAAAAATAAGCCATAAAAATGCTGAAGGTAAACAGTCTTTTGTCCACTTATAATAAATAATAATATGTTTTATTTATATAGCGCCTTTCCAGAGCTCAAGGACACTTTACAAAGAATGCGGAAAAAAAGATAAACAAACATACAGTAAATCAAATATAACAAACTGGAATTACACAAACAAGACCTAGGAGACAAATAGCGCAGGGGGATCAGATAAAGGGGTCAGTTTGGCAGATCAGAAGTGAAGCATTCACTTGATAATACTGCATGGGATTTCTCTGATCTTTCAATCTATTACTGTGAAAAAAAATCACTTTTTTGGCAAAGATTTGTACTTTTAGTTCTAAAAAATCAAATGTGGGAGATATTTACCTACTTAGTAAAACTAAAAAGGTGCAGTAGTAATAGGTACTTTTTACTTAAGTACATTTTTGAGGCAGAACTTCTTTACTTTTACTTAAGTAGAAAAGTGTAGTCAGTACTTTTACCAGAGTCGTTTTAAACATGAGTATCTGTACGTCTAGTTGAGTAAAAGATTTGTGTACTTTTGTCATCTCTGGTGGTGCTCAACCATGTTCCTGGAGATTTTAGCTCCAATCTAAATCAAACACAAATAAACCATCCAAGTAAGATCTGAAGGAGCACTTGGTAATTAAAGACAGGTGTGTTTCTCAAGGTCAAGGTTGCAGCTGAACTCTGCAGAAAGCTACATCTCCAGGAACAGGACTGAGCAGCCCGGTGGTAGTGCTGTTGACCTAATGGTTCTCTTTCTGTGTGTTTGGGTTAGTTTACTCTGGTGTATTATTGTTATTTTCTCTGATTGCCACAAGGCTTTAGTTCTGTCTCCTAATTATTAGCCCCCCTTTTCATTTTTTCATATTTCCCAAATGATGTTTAACAGAGCAAGGAAAGTTTTGTTGGAATATCTAGCCAATTCCATGTGTGTTCAAGAGAAAAGGTCAGGAGAGGTTTTTCTTCAATGTCAAAAATCGTAACAATTTATTAGATACAAATGAATAATTCGATGACAGAGCTCTGGGTTACGTTACCCCAATGCAATACAAGAATTACATTCAAGAGGTTTGCAACTAACATACATTTCCTGACTCCAGCATATATACACAACCGATCTTAACAGGTGGAGTTTTGGTGTAACGTCACTTGTCAGTCATTGTTCAGTCCTCCATTGGCCGCACCTTCGACATACTTCCTCTTTTTCTACGAATGCTCTGCACAACAACAAAGCATACATCTTTCTGTGTTCTGTGTTCAGTTTTAACACCTCTCTTCAGACAGGAAGTTTCTGCAAAGCTGAATTTAATTTTGGACCAGCATCTATCTACTTCAGCAAAAATGCTAATTAGTATGCACAGCATTCACACACAACATTAGAAATTCAGTTAATATATGACCCTTACATGATCAATACAAATAATTGTTTGATTAAAAGAAAAAGAGACAAAAATAATAAAAAATGATTCCTATTTTACAACAACAGTTTCACAGTGTGTCTAATAATATTGTTTTCTTCTGGAAAAAGTCTTATTTGTCTTATTTCCGTTAGAATAAAAGCAGTTTTTAATTTTCAAACAGCATTTTAAGGTCAAAATTATTAGCCCCTTTAAGACAACTTTTTTTCCAATAGTCTACAGAACAAACCATCATTATACAATAACTTGCCTAATTACCCTAACCTGCCTAATTACCCTAATTAACCTAGTTAAGCCTTTAAATGTCACTTTAGGCTGTATAGACGTGTCTTGAAGAATATCTAGTCAAATATTATTTAGTCATCATAGCAAAGATTAAATAAATCAGTTATTAGAAATGAGTTATTAAAACTATATTGATTAGAAATGTGCTGAAAAGGTTTTCTCTCCATTTAACAGAAAACAGGGAAAAATAAACAGGGGCGCTAATAATTCTGAATTTAACTGTATGTGATGGTGTTCCTGTGTGTTTATTGATGAAGCTCATGCAGTCTCTTCTCCGTCCTGTGTACATAAATAGATATACAACTAACTAACTAACTAACTAACTAACTAACTAACTAACTAACTAACTACCTAACTACCTAACCCCACCCCCCCAACAAAAAAAAAAGACATCCTGGGTTGTACGTTGCATGTTGGTAAAGCAGAGGCGTAATCCACATGCATTTAAGGAGCGTTTATTAATAAATCCATAAAAGAGGAAACAACAGGAAGATCCACCAACATAGTGGAACAAACATTTAACAACTGACTGACACACAAGGGCTATATACACAGGGGGCAACAATTAGGCTAAGCAAGCAGACAAGATTACTTCTCAATCAGCACCCCTGTTCAGTCAGTGCACTCATCAGGGTATCAGCTATTTAAAGTGCGGTCATGATCTGAAAACTCTAATAGTGCACTGAAATGTTTGTATCCTGAAAAGTCTCACAATATGCAGTATTAATTTGTATATATAAAGCGTTTTGCTTTACTATTTTTTTATGTTATGTTACTATGTTTCATATCTAGACCTATTTTAAATAACAAAATATTTACTTTTCCTTTAGCTCATTTTTGTTTTTGTATATGGTACTTTCCTATTCTGTAGTATTTCACAGCAATCGCGTTTTAAACATTCGCTTTTTTGATCCTCCCGGCACCCGTCAGAGTCGCGCCTCCGCATCCGCGCACCCGGAAACTGAGCAGGGCAACAAAAGCAGCGCTTTCTGCAGGCAACAAACAATCTCAGGTCTGCTTATAACATGCTTTTAAATAAGAGAAAACGTTTCAATAATGTGTCTATGACTCTAGTCAACTTTTTATCCGCCGGGTTGTCACTTTTATGCGTTGGGTGTAGTCCAGCAGTAGCTATTTACCAGGAGTGCTGTTGGGAGTCAGTCATATGACAGTCACGCATTTAAAATCGACTGCGAATATAATATTTTGTATATAACGTTAACATGATGTAATATGATATGAATGAAGTGATGTGCTTATGATTCTGTTTGTTTATGTAGTGAAAGGACAGAAGTTAATCTCTAGCAGATTAACAGTTACTGACAGCAGGAAAATCCGCTTTAAGATGATTTAGTCAATATTTATTTGCTCCCAGAGCTAGTGAAGTGTTTACTGATTTTATAACTAATGTAATTGAGATCAAATTGGTTTTATATTCGCACATTCATTCATTTTTGAACAGTGACAGGGTCTCTGCATTGTTTACCACGATGTTTTGTAAATTGGGTCTAAAATATAGAGGTAAAGTTGGTTTTATATTCGGATATTCAGACATTCCCCTTAATAATATCATTTCAGAAAAGTATTCATTGCAAATTCTAAATAGGGAAATCATATTAGCCGCACATGAGTATCAAAGTACAACATTGTTCACAGTCAAATAAACAGTGTTAATGTTGTTTTCAAGTCATACTTGCATGGTAATTCCGATCGAATATTCAAAGTAACATGGTAAACAATATATATAGACTGCTAAATAAACGAATGTGTGAATATAAAACCAACTTTACCTCTATGTCTAAAATTGCAGTCTCTGATACTGGTAATATACAAGCATATTTCACCCACTAATATCTTAAAACTTGGTTTCTTAATAGTAAGTTTACATTTTATGAATGTAAAATTTTGTTAACAATATAAGTAATCTAATTAAATAAATTGATTAGGATAGACTGTAAAGCCAAAAAGTGATTTTTTCCCATAATGATGAAAGAGGTTTTGAACACTGAAAATTGGTTACAAATAAATTAATACATTACAAACATTAATACATTTTTTGCACCTTTGCAAGTTGACTATGTACAATGCCAAAATAAGTGAAGAGTACAGATGCAAAAACCTCTAAGTGCCGTCTGAAATTTTCATAAAAAATGAGCCTTTCTCAGCCTCCTCCTATTCTCAGCCTCCTTTGTTTTTGTTGAGTAATTTCGCTTTGAAAAGTAGTACTGAACCTACACACAGGAGGCTAATAAAAATGATAGAGGTAAAGATAGTTTTAGATTTGGATATTTAGACATTCTCCTTAATTTAATTTCAGAAAAGTATGCTTTGCAAATTCTAAAAAGGGGAAATCATATTAGCAGCCAATGACTATCAAAGTACAACATTGTTCACAGTGACTTAGATAGTGTTAATTTTGTTTAGAAGTCATACTTGCATGCTAATTCTGACCTAATATTCAATTTAGCATGGTAAACAATATTAAGACAGTTAAATGAATGAATGTGCGAATACAAAACCAACTTTACATCTAAAAAATTATAATTTTTGCATCAAAAAAATTATAATTTTTGGGTATTTCTGTTGTCTCATATTTATTACAAAAAAATACAATTTACATCTATCCCACTTTTAAGTTTATGTGGAATGTTTTGCTGGATAAAATCTGTGGAGACGTTTATAGGATATTTCTTTCATTTAATTTCTAACATGATATTTCAGTTGTAACAGCCACACTTTTTTTTTTTTTTTTTTTACAGAAAATCAATTTACTGTAGAATGAGATAGATATATGTATATATATATATATATGTAGGCACAACACAATTGTTGTTTGCTAGTTTCAGCTCGGCGCAAGAGTCGTTTTGACGTTTTGCAGCACGTTGTTTAGATATCAAATGCATTTGCGCTCATATGTGCGCCCATAGGCATTCTGGTCTAAAAAAGGAGGTGTGTTGAGGCACATTGCTGGCGCGTTGCTATTTTCAGGAACTTAAATAGACGGTTCAATAGATCAGATCAAAGCCGGTCTATTGTCCAGCGCAGAGCGTGATAGTTTTGCGCCTCACTTACACATTGCTTAACACACACAGGATGTACAGCAATACACAAATATCTTTATAAATGAGAAAGAATTAAAGGGTTAAAATATTACAAAAAATATTTTTTTCTAGCCTACATAAATATAAAAACCAAACTTTCATGTCTTCTTCATCTCGGGGGCCTTTTTCAGTTCATTCATAACAATTTGCTTTTGTATAATGTTATTATTATTCGCAGTATTACTTATTATATCCATATTTATATTTGTTTTATTAAAAACATGCTTAGATTTGTTCACCTGTCAGGTTTTAGACCATATGGGGCACAGCATGTGTATTTTGATATAACTCAGGTTTTTGAGCACATTTTGCTATTATTATTCATTTATTCATTTGCTGGAAATTAGCACTGAATTTAGAAATAGTTTTGAAACAAATATTTGTGCTTAACAAACTAAATTAAACATAGGCTAATTAATGTCTGCGTACAACACATTTCCCTATCCATGAGAGCGAAAGTGAAAGTAAAGAATGAGGAGGCTTATTTCTCATTCTCGCGCTGCAGATGCTCTGTTTAACTGTTTTCTTTCTAGTGAAGCGTTCAGTTTTTCCACTTACAAAGTTCACCATGTATATAGCAAATGCGCTTACACGCGGCAGAACTGGCTCTTAAAGGGAAAGGGAGATGAAACTCTGATTGGTTTATTCTCAAAACAGATCTATAACTCATTAAGAGAATAATGCGCCATAGCCCAAAGGGGATTTTTCCGTCTTTAAAATAGCAAAAGTGGATTCTGACACACCCTGAATGCGTTTGCGCCCTGCGCGTTGGACTTTGCGCTTGGACCGTCTAAATAGAGTCCTATGTCTTTAAAACCATTCAAATTAAATACTATTAATAGTAATAATAGTAATAATAATAACACTAACAAACAAATATTTCACAAAAAGAGGTTACTTAAAAAAAAAAATAATAATTTTAATATAATAATTTTATATTCCCTTCTGTTATTTATTTTTAAAATTTTTGAAATATTTCTCAAATGATGTTTAACAGAGGAAGGAAATTTTCACAGTATTTCAGATAATATTTTTTTTTCTAGAGAAAGTCTTAATTATTTTATTTTGGCCAGAATAAAAGCAGTTTTTAATAATTTAAAAACCATTTTAAGGTCAATATTATGAGCCCCTTTAGCAATATTTTTCCCCAACTGTATTCAGAACAAACCATCGTTATACAATGACTTACCCTAAATATATTAACCCAATTAACCTAGTTAAGCCTTTAAATGTCACTTTAAGCTAAATACTAGTATCTTTAAAAATATCTAATCACATATTTTTTACTGTCATCATGACAAAGATAAAATAAATCAGTTATTAGAAATGAGTTATGAAAACTATTATTTTTAGAAATGGGTTAAAAAAATATTTTTTCTTTTTAACTTTACTGTTTAAAATCCAAAAAAGCACAGAAAACCATGGTTTTGAAAAAATAACCTGACAGTGGGCATGTTGTGCTTTTGAGCTCCTCTTAAGATCACGAGTTGTGTGATGTATCAGGCTCGGGCAGCTGGCAGAAAACATTGGAGTCAATGATTATTCTCTTCTGTAATCTTCAGCATGATTTGTTCAGATTACCAGGCTGAAAAGGCAGTTTGCTCTTTGTTTTTTGAAGTGCGTGTTTTAATGTGGTGATCGAGAGCTGTGTTGAGAGTCAGGTGCTGACTGAGCACAAAAGCCAGATTAGAGAAGAGACTCTTAAACTGATCCTGTAAATCTGTCTGGAGAATCTGAGACGGGCTGACAGACAGGCGGCAGTCAATGGGGGGCCTGAGGCCAGGTGAACGAGGTCTCTCGCTTTCCCTTGGCAGTTTACCGCTCCATTTGGATGCGTTATACACTCAATAAATATATATTTTTGCTTTTTGTTCAAACTGCTTATATAAAATGAGCTGAATCAACATAATTCTTGAGTTTGTATTGGGACAATCTGATTGTTTTATGTTCAATCCACTTAAATTGGTTAACTTAATTGATTTGTGTAAATATAAGAGTTGCACGATATTGGAAAAACCTGACATTGCAATATTTTGTTTTGCTGCGATATACAGTTGTAGTATATGAATATAGTTGAAGTTGAAATCTTTCCAAATAGAGCTATTCAAATCGTCTTGTGAAATTATATTCATATCGCAATATGCAGTCGAAGTCAGAATTATTAGCTCTTCTGAATCTTTTGGCCAAAATAACATCAGCAACTGTGTCACATTGTTTATTTTTGGCCTATGAAAAAAAATTTGGATGTTTTTGAAGCAAAGGTGGATGAGCTATTAAATCTGGTGAATAATATATATTAATTAAAAAAGAAGACAGTGGCTGTTTCTGACTTTTGATGTCTGTCTAAATAATATTACATTAAATACAGAAAAACATACAGTTGAAGTCAGAATTATTAGCCCCCTTGACATTTTTATTTCTTTTTTTTTTAAATATTTCCCATGTTTAACAGAGCAAGGAAGTTTTCACAGTGTTTCTGATAATATTTTTTCTTCTGGAGAAAGTCTTTTTTGTTTTATTTCGGCTAGAATAAAAGCCGTTTTTAATTTTTTAAACACCATTTTAAGGAGAAAATCTTTAGCTATTGTAAGCTGTTTTTTTTTCAATAGTCTACAGAACAAACCATCATTATACAATAACCTGCCTAATTAACCTAATTAACCTAGTTACGTCTTTAAATGTCACTTTAAGCTGTATAGAAGTGTCTTGAATCTAGTCAAATATTATTTACTGTCATCATGGCAAAGAGAAAATAAATCCGTTATTAGAAATGAGTTATTTCAACTATTATGATTAAAAATGTGTTAAAAAAAAAAATCTGCTCTCCGTTAAACAGAAATTGGGGAAAAAATAAACAGGGGGGCTAATAATTCTGACTTCAACTGTATATACATTTGGGACTGCCGACACTCACTTTTCCCTGTGTGTTTGTGTGTTTGCTTTTTAAAGCATCATGTCGGATAAAAGTGAGCTGAAAGCTGAGCTAGAGCGGAAGAAACAGCGCCTGGCTCAGATTCGAGAGGAGAAGAAGAGAAAGGAGGAGGAACGCAAGAAAAAAGAGGTGAAAGCTCATCACAGATTACATCATTATTACACTCAACATAGTCTACTTGAATGAATACATCAGGATGAGGATTCACACTTAACAATCCTGTTCTGTACTGTGCATTATAAATAAAGAGATTCAGTATGGAAATGCTTCATTTAGTTTTAAACGTCCAGAGGTGGACTTGTTGCAATTTATCCCAAATGATGGTCTTTTTACCCATTAAAATTGTCATGAATAATGATAGAAGTTATAATATTAAACAAATCATATTAAATGGTTTTATTTTAAATATTATGTTACTTTGCTTTACTGTGCTTAATTATGATAACTGGTGGAGTCTAACAGTATTCAAGTACAGAAATTGAACAATCGCATGTAAAATAACATGCTCATCACTGCATGAATAATAATATCTTTATCAGGGTTCAACGCTAAGGATTTTTTATACGGGTCCGATCGGGCCTTTAGTTGAGATTTTTATCTGCCCTGCCAAAATTTTCACTTGCCCCACCAAAAAAACTAAAAAGTTCATAGCTATTTCTTGGCCACATATTTTAAATAATGGCAAAATTATGCCTGTGAATCTAGAATTTAAACATTTTAAATGTGTTAATAAATGTATAATAAGCAAAATTCAAGATTTTATGCAAATGAAAGAGCAGTATGAAAAATGTACTGGTATTTTAATGCAATTCTAAATAATTTTTATAAAAATGGCTTGCCAAACTGACAACTGTTTTTTTTTTGTTCTTTCTTTTCAGTTCCATAATTTTGTACCAATGTAATTGTCTGCTTCTAAGACTTTAGAAACAGGCGTTTTCTTTTAGCCTCATTGTTTAATTTTGCTGCCATGTTGCCATCTTTTCGCTGTACTGGTTGTTACTGGGTTACAAAAAAAAAAACAAAAAAAAACGTGCTCATTGTTACTGGCCGATAGTGGCCTGTAACAATCCGGTCTACTGTCCCGAGTGTCTTTCATGCTGGCCCCGGGCCACCGGGCAGTCCTTATTGTTGAGCCCTGTTTATTATTTAATCTTTAACAAACAGTCTAATCCTGCATTGTTGCTATTGCTGATGCACACATTGAGATATCGATGCTCTAACGTTATATTGTACACCCCATCCAACACTGTTGCAGCATTAGCGATTGTAAGGCGTACATCCGTTTTTTGCTACATCACCTTTAAGCTCACGATCTTCAACTTTAACAAGCAGCGCTGCTCATCACTGTCAATTCCAAGGCAGTATCACAAAAACTCAGAAGTGGGACAATCGATGCAAGTTTCTGTTTACACGTGCTTAGTATCCAGAAGTCCTTATGCATTTCTGAGTGCCGACTCTTGCGTTTTCATAAGCAAAGACACGTTCGATGTGAATGAGACCTAAGATTTTTGTTCTTCAGAACAATAGAAAGTTGTTGTTTTTTTGCTGAAGTGTTTGTTTTGCTGTTTTAGGCTGAGCTGAAGAAGGATGCCGTCCCACTGCAGGATGATTCAGACCTGGAGAAGAAGCGCAGAGAGGCTGATGCTCTGCTGCAGAGTATGGGCATCACTTCAGACGTGTCTGCCGGTAGGTCACATTTATATCCTCAAACAGCCTTTCCATGAAGCTGAAGATATACCTAGCCTATATTTATAAACCTTTTCCTAAAAAAAAAACTTTATATAAATAATATATCAGAGATGGGGGACTCGAGTCACATGACTTGACAATGACAATGTAGCCCACAGGGTAATCATAAGTATCATTCCGGCCACATCAGCATTGCAGCGCCGTTGTGGTTCAGTGGTCAGCACGTTGGTCTACCATGCCTTTAGATCCGTGTTCGATCCTCACCTGACTTAATATCTTTTTTTTTTTCATTTTATTGTTAAGACAAATAAAACTATAAGGTTGTTGAACATTTGAAGTTCTAAAGCAGCTGTTTTCTTAAAAAAAAACGTGATGGTCTCATTAGAAACTGAATGAAACTGAAAAAAATATATATTTACTCAGGTGAGGATCTTTATTTTTTTCAGTTTTTACATTGTGCTCATGGGGCTGCGAGACAATAAATAAGAAGAGCGGAGCTGCGGCAAAATAATGGATAAAAAGAGTGAGGATATGGTCAAATAAATAAATAAATAAATAAATAAATAAATAAAGCGACTGCAACTGCTGCTTTCTCCGTTGTCCATGCTGGAGAGGAACAGTCTGCGCATATGAAGCGCAGAGTTGGTGTCATTGACTACAGCTCTCATCTGATTGGCTAAAAGGTACGAGTAGCCCTGAGTCTGGCAGGAGAGTCTAAAAAGAAAAAACACTCTTATCCAGGGGGAGTCGAACGTGAAAGAGGATTAGCACATTCTCATTCAGGATGAACTCGCAAGTTTTAAACATTCAAAACTTTTTGTACACTCTTTTACATTTGCAAATGGTGTTTAGCATTTGTGAAACGTATTTTATGAAAATGCATTTTTATTTTGTGCACGTGAAATTTTTTGTGTGAATATAAATAAATAATTTACGCACGTGAATTTAGTTTTATGCACGTGAATTTGGCTACGCATGTGTACATCGTGTCTTTTGCGTGAATTATTATTGAGTCTATTCTGACTCCATAAAGAAGAACCGCTTTAAATGATTCATTCGGTTCATTGAACGATTCATTTGAACAATTCATTTGCTATTCGGCCATCAGATAATGCGGTGATATAAAATGGAAGCTGCTCCGCCAATAATCCGCCTATTTTACTAGTTTAAAGATTACAAACAAGACGGCTAATCAAAGTGTATACTATTTAGTCTGACTCAGTGCTTGTGTATATTTAGTGACAAGTTTTTTACAGCTATTATCATTCTTCTACACTGTTTTGTATCCACCTAATGCCTGGTTCACACTAGAGGATTTTAAGCCTGATTTGAGCCCGATTTGGAAGTTAACGAGCTCGCCGACAGATCGGGCTGTGATCGGGAAGAAATCTGCGGGTGCTCGGCGCTCGCCGCTCTTTATGTGTGAACTACTGAACAACGCATCAACGAGGCTCGCTGACGCGTCGCCGACACCTCGCAGACGGATATCCAACATTCAGCATGCTAAATATTCCAGAGCAGTCGGCCGACTCAACCCCACGTGTGGTCAGATGTAGTGACGAGCTGCAGCCAATGAGAGAGCATATCAGCATGAGCTGAATGCCTGTGTGTTCAGGAGCTCAGCAGAAACATCTGTTATTGGTCAGAATGGGCATCGGTGCACTCGCTTCATTCTGCATTAGCACAGACATGAGAGTAGGATATATTAACAGTGGAACTAGAATTCTGTAACTATTAGAATTACCATACGGCTCATTCTGACCGTTCTCATATAAAGCGCCATATTGTCACAACATATTTACATTCAAAGCTATTATTGAGATATTAAAATTAAGCTTTGAATGCTTAATTTGAATGCTTTGAATGCCATTACCCTAAAATATCATCTTTTTTTGGTAATACAGCCTATAAATATGTAGTTAAGATACTAAAACACTTAAAGGCTTGGCTTTCATTTTCACTTTCAAACAGGAGCTATTCGTCACAGAATATGCTGTTTTGAAAGATATCTGAAGTAAATTGATGTTTTTGCCATCAGAAAGTTTTGTTTATGTTAGCAGGAAGTTGCCAGGCAAGAAAATGCACATATTTAAAGTCACAGTGAAAAGTATCAGACATGCATCCAGTCATTTTGACCAATATGGTAATTTAAGGCAGAATTGCTCAGTTCTTTACTGTTTTGTGATAAAAAAAAAACAATGTCAGAAAGAAATACACTGATAGTTAGAAAATGGCAGGGTGTTATAAATATGTTAGTTTTATTTCAAAGAGTTATAAAATTACAAAAATTAAAAACTCTCTGTGTATTTATCCACTGGAACCTTGCAGATAAGTGATTAATCCGCTGATTTGACGATGTTTTTAAATGCTTTCTCCAAAGCTTTAAACGCTGTCAGTGATGTCATCAGCACACAAGCAGCCAATAGTGTTCAGCTTTTTCTGACGACTCCTCCCTCAAATTTTCATTGGCTGTGGTTTGGTAGCTTGAATGAGCTGATGGGGAATGAGATGTTGTCAGATCATGTAGTGTGTGACCCCCCTCTTGTGGATCGTTCACGGAGTGTTGCGTAGTGTGAACACCACAGAGATCAAAAGACACAAAGTCAAGTCATGTAGAGTGAACAGCACAGCGATCTGCTGATGTTTAAAATCCTGTAGTGTGAACTAGGCTTAATTTAACCAAGCATCCGCATTTGCTGTATATTTTAAACACCCAAACTATCCTCGATATCAAGAACTTTCATGCGTCCTCCGTTCTTGTGGTTTTGAGTTTTGGAACGGTAATGATGACGTTACACGAGGATGCAAGACCGCTGAAGAACGCATATTGAGAAACAGCCATGGTGAATGTGCAGAGCTGGTGGTCCTCCAGGAGCATGGTTGAGAAACACTGGAATAATGTATACAGCACTCAGCATAAATGAGTACACCCCTCACAGATCTCTCTTCTATACGACTGTTTTCTACAGGATGTTTTGCAATAATCTATTTGTGCATATACATTATTGAAACTAAAAATTATAAGTAATCTAACTAAGAAACCAAACATCACAGTCCAAAAATAAGAACACTTAAATTAATTTTGGGGGAAAACATTAAATAAGATTTCAATAAACAGGAGCAATCAAGAGAAACAAAAAACATGCCAAATGTAGTTGGAATTTTGTTGCAATCACTGGTTAGATTTTAAATGTATTATCTTTCTATTAATAAAGATGTTCGGTGACCAAACTCTTATTTTAATATAACCATTTGATCAGTTGTTGTTAGCTTTTTTTTCTTCTGTTGAACAGAAAAGCAGATATTTCAAAGAATGTTGGAAACTGCTTTGGTGGGAACCATTGACTTCTATAGTATTTGTTTTTCCTACTGTGGATGTCAGTGGTTACTGGTTCCAACATTCTTCAAAATATCTTCTTTTAGTGTTCGACAGAAAAAAAGAAACTCATAAAAGCTTGAAACCACCTGACGGTGAATAATTAGTGGGTAAATAGTAATTCATGTGTGAATTAACCCTTTAAATGCAGAAGCCCATTGTAGTGTAGTTCATCGAATTGAACACAAGAGGGCAGCAGTACACCGCGGTAAATTTGACGGTGGACAGTTTTGTTTTGGAATCTGCGTAGATAGTTTTGGACTTCATATTTTCTACCATTTTTTTCAAAAGCTTTTCATGTTAAGTTGGAATATATATGTATTTAAAAATAGATAAACATTTTTTATGTTCATCACTAACAAAAAAGTCTAACATGTATCTATTTCAATAATTTAGTGTTTTAGGTTGTTTTAAATCATTATTTTGTGTGTGTTGTTAAATATTAATATTCACCAAAAAACTCTGTGGATTAAAATAAATATGCAAAAATGTTTCAGGAAATTGAAGTTAGTGATTGAAAAAATGTAACATTCACACACGTGTTGGTCCAAGTCATGAAATATCTGAGATTATTTTTGTTTGACACTTTAATTTTTTATTTTCAGTTTATCAAACTGTAATTTTTCTTATATCATGCTATATTACACTTACTGTTATAGTCAGGCTATTTTACAGCTTCATTTGATTTCTTTCATGCTCATAAACTGACAGTCACAAATGTAACGTTTGAAATGTTTTTCTTTTCTCTTTTCCTCTGAATATCAGTTAAATTATCCATTGTTGTTGTCATTATGGCCATTAAAGTCATTCAAAATGTTTATTTTTTTCAAAAGTAAATCTTTAAAAAGTTTAGATTTTTTTTTTGTGGTAATTTTATGTATTTTAAAATTATTTATAAACCTTTTATTATATAAATGTTTTTTTTTTTGGCAAATTTTATGCGTTTTTAACCATGAAATTCCCACAGGTAATGGACTTTCTGGAATATCATGGGATTTTAAATGCTTTATTAAACACATTGAAAGTTAAAACCTTTAAATCAGGCGTTTTTTGTATGTTTCTTACTTTATATTTTATTTTCCGTTGATCAAAATGTAATTTTACTAAACCACATTTTTTATGTCTTACTATTTTACACCTATTAATAGACCTGTCACAATAATCAATAATCAGCTTCTCATTCAGTACTTGGCGCTGGCATCAATCATATTTACCGTTGCAATTTTATATTTCCAAATAATATTTAAGCCATTTTACGGTGACATTTACGTTTCACCTCACTAATGTTAAGATTTATAGTTGAACATTTACCTAAAAGGACATTTATTAGTATATAGAGTAGGTTGTTTACCTTTTGAACATCAAATTATGGAAGCTAAATGACCTTTAGGATGATAAGTATTTTAAAGTGTTTATGGCTGTTTGCATTATTATGCTGTTATTTAGTCATTATATAATCAGTGGTAGTCAAAATGACAATAATATCGCTTAGCGCAACAATTTCTGTGACTATTCAATTCAGCTTTATTTGTATAGCGCTTTTTCAATGTAGATTGTGTCAAAGCAGCTTCATGTAAATGGTCATAGTGACTGGAACAGAGTAGTTAAGTTTTAAGTTTTTAAGTTCAGTTCAGTTTAGCTCAGTTCAGTGTGGTTTAAAGTCATTACTATATCGCACAACAAAAATTCCTTATCGTGAATGACCTGCCTATTGTTATAGTCAAACTATTTTTCAGCTTCATTTAGTTTCTTTCCCGCTCCGAAACTGACAGTCGGAAATGTAAAGTTTGTAAAACTGCTTTTTCTCTCTTTTTTTCTCAAAATCTCAGTTAAATATTCATTGTTGTTGTCAAAGTGCCCATTAAAGTCATTCAAAATGATTTTTTTTTTCTTAAAATTAACTGTTTAAAAGTGTTTAGGTTTTTAGATCATTTTATGTATTCATATTTTGGTCACACTTTACAATAAGGTTCATTAGTTAATGTAAATTAATGCATTTACTAACATGAACAAACGATGAACAATACATTTACTACAGTATTTATTCATGTTAATAAACGTTAGTTAATGAAAATACAGTTGTTCATTGTTAGTATGTTAACTCATGGTGCATTATCTAATGTTAACAAGCATGGACTTGGATATTAATAATGCATTAGTAAATGTTCAGTTATGATTTATAAATGCTGTACAAGTGTTCATGATTAGTTCGTGATAGTAAATACATTAACTAATGAACCTTATTGTAAAGTGTTACCCATATTTTTTATATAAACCATTTTTATTATATAAAGTTTTTTTTTTGTACATTTTATTTGTTTTAACCATGAAATAGCCACAAGCTTCCCACAGGTCATGGATTTTCTGGCATATCTTGGGATTTTAAAAGACTTATTACACACATTGAAAGTGAAAAGCTCCAAATCAGTTTATCATTCATTTATATCATAAATTTATTTTTATTTTAGTTTCAGTTGATTAAAATGTAATTTTCCTATACTGCATGTTCTATATCATGCTATTTTACACCTATTGCTATAGTTAGGCTGTTTTTCAGCTTCATTTAATTTCTTTCATAAACTGACAGTCACTAATGTAAAGTTTGTAAAACTGCTTTTTTCTCTCTTTTTTCATAAAATCTCAGTTAAAATATATTATTGTTGTCATAGTGGCCATTAAAGTCATTCAGATTTTTTTTCACTCAAAAGTAAATCTTTTTATTTTATATATTTATTTATTTTATTTTTTTACATTTTAGTTTGAGTTGATCAAAATGTAATTTTCCTATACCGCATTTTTATATCATGCTATTTTACACCTATTATTATTGTTAGGCTATTTTTCAGCTTCATATTGTTTCTTTTCACGCTCAACAGAAATGCAAAGCTGACAGAAACGAAACCAACTGATAAAAGCATATACTAACCTACAGATTATTAACCTACATGAGAGAGATGAGAGTGTTTCTACAGGTGGTTTGTCAAGCTAACTCACCTGTGTGAAGCACACTTCAGAAGTGCATGTTATTTTTAATTTTTTTTGTACATTTTAATTGTTTTTAACCATGAAATAGCCACAAAGTTCCCACAGGTCATGGACTTTCTGCAATATCAGGGGATTCGCAAATGCAAAGTTTGAAAAAACACTTTTCTTCTCTGTTTTTCTCCAAATCATAAATTATCTATTGTTGCTGACATAGTGGTCATTAAAGTCATTCAGAATATGTCATTTTAATACTATTATTATTTTATTAAATTAATAATATAATATAAGCACAACAGCAGCCTGCGTTTGTGTTCATTTTAGGAATTCAGATTTTAGTCAGTGAAAGTCAGGAAATGTCGAACCCTGAAGCCAGAGAATATGATATGGCATTAAACTCAAAACTCTCTCTCTTTCTATCCAAATACTTTGAGGGCATTTTATGTCAACAAAAGTATGTTTATCTGGCTCTGTCTTTCTTTAGCTCCTGCACCCATGTCTCCCACTGCCAAATCTGTGGGCAGTCCAAGTGAGGCAGGGAGCCAAGACTCAGGAGACGGGACCACTGGACCACGGTAATCTCCATCTCTCTCTCTCTCTCTCTCTCTCTCACTCTCTCTCTCTCTCTTTCTCTCTCTCTCTCTTTCTCTCTCTCTCTCTCTCTCTCTCTCTCTCTCTCTCTCTCTCTCTCTCTGTCTATTACACTCTCTCATGTTTGTGGCAGGTCTGATATAATTAGCACTGGAGAGGTCTGTAGCTTTAGGATTAACCACCAGTGAAAGTGTCTGAAGTGTATTTTTGGGTAAAGTTCTTCCGCATTAACTCTCATTAGACACTTCTGAGGTGTAGCTAAAATATAATTTACTGCTGGAAAACCCCTGAGAATCGAAAACATGAAAAGACCTACCCAGAATTTTACACCATCCCCGATTTGCTATTAATGCAAATGTCATAAAATGAGCATGATATAGCATAACTAGCTATATTCTAATGCAGAATTAGATCAAACAGAGACGGCTAATCCAGGGTGCTTTGCAAACGCTTGAGTGCAACAGTGATGAAATAGTTGGTAACACTTTACAATAACGCCTCATTAGTTAAGTAAGGAATAAAGTACATCCTGGAGGTTGTTATCGCAGAGTAATGCCTGGTAAGGTTATCGGCAACTCGACTTGAAGTGGAGCATTGTTTTATAAGACTGAAAGGCTTTATATTTCTGAAACAACTGTCCTGGATGTACTTTATTTAGCTTATTACACAGCCGTTTGCAACAAAACAGTCATAATACATTGTTCTGAGTTATAATAGTTTATTAATATGTTAATTAAACAGAAATCTGACAGAAACCAAAACAGCTGATGGAGTATACACTAACCTGCGCATTATTCAGTCACAGGATGGCGCCAAACCGTCTAAAACACAAAGCTGACAGAAGCCAAAACAGCTGATGGAGTATACACTAACCTGCGCATTATTCAGTCACAAGATGGCGCCAAACAATCGAAAGCGCAAAGCTGACAAACAAAATCAGCTGATATAGCATACACTAACCTACGCATTTTTCAGTCACAAGATGGCGCCAAACCGTCTAAAACCAAACAGTCAAAAACAAAAAGCTGACAGAAACAAAATCAGCTGATGGAGTATACACTAACCTACGCGTTATTCAGTCACAAGCTGGCGCCAAACCATCTAAAACACAAAGATGACAGAATCCAAAACAGCTGATGGAGTATACACTAACCTTCATATTATTTAGTCACAAGATGGCGCCAAACAGTCAAAAACACAAAGCTGAAAGAAACAAATAATTTCTGCAATTATACCACTCTTAAACCTACACATACCCCCAAACCTGTCCCTAACCCTATCCGTATCCCACCCCAAGACCACCAGAAGTGTTCTGCAACACATTATGAACACGTCAAGTACATCGTACATGTGCATAGTAGGTCACTTTCTATATAGTGTGACCTATATTTCTAATAATATGTTATATTGTAAGAAATATCACTATCGCAATACTTAACAACAATTTTGCATATTTTCCCAGTATCGCGCGGTCCTACTCTTTAGCAGTAAACTTTTCCCAACATAAGTAAACACTAGGGATGTAACGGTATTGTAAATACCGTCATACTGCAATATTATTTTTTTCCGATATTACCGAAGTCGCATGACTCGGTAAAACTATAGGTCTTCTGAGAAAATTTGCTCAGGCGAATGAAGCGAACGGGAGGTAGCGAAAACTACAATTCCCATCAGCCCATGCTTGACCATCATCCCTTGCGGTCTGTTGTCGCTACAGATCCAGTAATGCGGAAATGGAGTGTGCTGCTAGAAGCGGGGATGAAAAAGAGCTGGAAAACCCTAAAGCGGGTGTTGTCGCTGCACGCGTACTAAATAGCGGTGTTGTCGCGCGAGTTCTTATCAGCTGTGTTGTCGCGCGAGTTCTTATCAGCTGTGTTGTCGCGCATACTGAATAGCGGTGTTGTCGCGCGAGTTCTTATCAGCTGTGTTGTCGCGCGAGTTCTTATCAGCTGTGTTGTCGCGCATACTGAATAGCGGTGTTGTCGCGCGAGTTCTTATCAGCTGTGTTGTCGTGCACGTACTGAATAGCGGTGTTGTCGCGCGAGTTCTTATCAGCTGTGTTGTTGCGCGCGTACTGAATAGCGGTGTTGTCGCGTGAGTTCTTATCAGCTGTGTTGTCGCGCGCCTACTGAATAGCAGTGTTGTTGCGCGAGTTCTTATCAGGTGTGTTGTCGCGCGCCTACTGAATAGCGGTGTTGTCGCGCGAGTTCTTATCAGCTGTGTTGCCGCGTGCCTACTGAATAGCGGTGTTGTCGCGCGAGTTCTTATCAGCTGTGTTGTCGCGCGCCTACTGAATAGCGGTGTTGTCGCGCGAGTTCTTATCAGCTGTGTTGTCGCGCGCCTACTGAATAGCGGTGTTGTCGCGCGAGTTCTTATCAGCTGTGTTGTCGCGCGCCTACTGAATAGCAGTGTTGTCGCGCGAGTTCTTAACCTGGGCCAAGGTTGAGTTGTCAACCTGGGCCAAGTCATATCTCTCTGTCCCAGAAACCTCAGTCCCAAATTAGAGGGTTTTTTTTCTGCTGCAGGGGACATGCCCAGAGATACCAGCTTTTACCAGATTATATTTATATGATAATTTTCCTTTAAACCCATCTCTATCTAAGTGAGTGAGTGATTAAATGTTGAATGTGATGAGTTTTCAACAATACTAAATTGAAACTTTATTTTTTTACATGGTTTAATATTTTTTTGTTATTAAAATTGAAGTTCCTGTTTCAAAGCTTACAGATAGATGGCTAATTTGTATGTCATTGACACTTTTGGCACTTTTTTGGAGTATTTTCATAAGTTTGTTTTTTCCTGTAAATGATTCAATAAATACCGTACCGTGACATTCATACCGAGGTATTGAAATACCGAACCGTAAAATTCTGATACCGTTACATCCCTAGTAAACACTAAAATACCATTCACAAACAAGCATTCAAGGGGGTTTTAACCTGATGTGTTTTTCATTTCTCAACTAGGATTAAATATTTGACTGTGAAGAATATTTCCACTTGGGATTTAGGGCACATGTAGAATAGGGAGGGGAAAGGGGTACATATATTTGGTGCAGTTGGGAATCATATCCCATTGGGACACAGTCTAAAATCGAACGTGTGTTTCCCACATGAGCTCAACTTCTCTGCCCAAAATGATCTAACCACTAGTCATGGCTCCAGCTATTAAAATGATATGAATATCCAAATGTTATAGACGTTCAGTGTAGGAAAGACCTGTGGGAGCAGTGTGGAGCTGCCGTGGGGAGTGTTTAACCTCTGATTATGGCTGAACGCACTCACACACACACTCAGAGATGCCCCGCAGGCCTCCGTGCGCACTCATATCCCGCACCGCTTCACCACTTCCTACACACACGCGGATCGTGTTTCCAACAGCACACACACCGAACCACACACAGCTTCGCTGACGTGAGGTAGTTTAGTGTCAGGATCAGTGAGGATTTGATGTCGATGAAATGATACCAGCCTGTTTCTTTTTCATCTGTGTAGCTTATTGCAAGTAATTCGTCCTTGTATTTGTCTCCCGAACATCAGAACTGACATGTGTTTATGTGTTTGTCTCATGTCTATAGACGCTTTTCTGCTGTCTCTACCTGCTCGAACATTGTGTTTTTTTTTAAGTGTGGTCTCTAACAGCCTCTCTGTCTTCTTGTATCCGTGTGTCTGTGTGTAACCGTGTGTCGTGACACTAACAGGACTCTGCACTGGGACTGTGACCCGTCCACTGTTCTTCTTCACTCTGAGCTCGGGTACTGCACTCTTTCTGCTCATTCTCCTTCTCTTTCCGCTGTTTTCTCACACACCTCTCAGTAAATAGAAAGCAAAATGAAAGTAAATAAATGAACGGGGCTGTCTTATAATCATGGTATAGCTTAATGTAATCAGCAGAAAACAACAAGAAGCTGTGATTAAACGAAATAACTGATTATTCTGATTCGTTTTATAGTGAAGCACTGTGTTGTGAATACACACGTGAGCTTACTGTTTGGTTTTTTCATTCCCTCAGAGCTGCAGGACACAGTAAATGCAAACAGTTTCATCTCTAATATGAATTTTGCAACTACTTTTTTCTACTGTGATTTACAGTATTTTACCAATGTCCCTCTGAAATGAAAGCTTAATGATTTGAAGAGTTGACAGTGGGTTTTTTTGAGAAATAAAAAATATAAGTTGTATTTTTATAATTAAGTGTGTTCTTGGTTCACAAGACCAGTCATAAGACCAGTCGATTTGATAAAAATATGATGTATATGCCATCTGAAAGCTAAATAAATGAACTTTCCATTAATATATGGTCTGTTTGGAAAATATTTGGTCGAGAAACAACTATTTGAATATCTGGAATCTATGGATTAAAAAAAAATATATATATATTTATATATATATATATATATATATATATATATATATATATATATATATATATATATATATATATATATATATATATATATTAGCGCCCCTGTTTATTTTTTTCCCAAATTTCTGTTCTGTTCTGGGAAGATTGTTTCAGCACATTTCTAAGCATAATAGTTTTAAAAACTTATTTCTAATAACTGATTTATTTTCTCTTTGCCATGATGACAGTAAATAATATTTTACTAGATAATTTTCAAGACACTTCTATACAGCTTAAAGTGACATTAAAAGGCTTAAACAAGGTTAATAAGGTTAACTAGGCAGGTTAGGGTAATTAGTAAAGGTTTTGTATAACGATAGTTTGTTCTGTAGACTGTCGAAAAAAAAATAGCTTAAAGGGGCTAATAATTTTGTCCCAAAAATGGTTTTTAAAAAATTAGTAACTGCTTTTATTCTAGCTGAAATAAAACAAATAAGACTTTCTCCTGAAGAAAAAATATTATCAGACATACTGTGAAAATTTCATTGCTCTGTTAAAAATCATTTGGGAAATATTTAAAAAAGAAAATCAAAATCAAAAGGGGGCTAATAATTCTGACTTCATCTGTATATTATTAGCCCCCTTTTATATGCTCCATTTCCTTCACAACCGAGTCTAAATCCATTTAAATACATAACATTTTGAAAGATTTTTGTGTGTGGCTGTGTGCTCTTCCAGACGTGGTCCTCTGAAGTTGGCCATGACAAAGATGACCCATGTGGATTTCCCGCCAAAAGAGGTGGTGTCCTACACCAAAGAGACACAGACGCCCACCATGACCGAGCAGAAGGACGGTGAGTCAACAATTCATGTGCAATTCTGTCTGATACCATTCACAAGAATGTTTTCTTCTTATTAATGAATTAGCATTTTCTGTTTGTTTCTTATGATATTTTTTTCCTCACCTCGATAAACGCTCACAAGATATTATTTTTATTTATGGATTTTTTATTGATTTTCTATTTTCTTTTTAAAAAAAAAACATTTCTAAATTTTTTTGTCCCATCTTGAACACATTATATGTTTTTGTTGTAAATGAACTCTTTATAGGGCACTCAATTAAATTTTCAACCAACAAAAATAAGTTTTATTGTAATAAATGTGTTATATTGTAATAAATTTCATGAAGTTACCATATATGGTTCCTCGGATAATCAAAGGTTGAAATTGACCACTTTTAAAAATTTCACCATAAAAAAACTATTATTATTTAACATTTACATTTACATTTAGTCATTTGGCAGACGCTTTTATCCAAAGCGACTTACAAATGAGGACGAGGAAGCAATTTACACAACCAAGAGCAACAATGAATAAGTGCTAAAGGCAAGTTTCAGGTCTGTAAAGTCTAAGAAGGGAAGTATTAGTAGTATTAGTATTTTTTTTTTTTTTGTACAGTTAGTGTGATATTCAGAGAGTCAATTGCAGATTAGGAAGTGAAGTGGAGACTAAATAGTTGAGTTTTTAGTCGTTTCTTGAAAATAGCGAGTGACTCTGCTGTTCTGATGCAGTTAGGGAGTTCATTCCACCAACTGGGCAGATTGAGCGTGAGCGTTCGCGAAAGTGATTTCTTCCCTCTTTGGGATGGAACCACGAGGCGACGTTCATTCACAGAACGCAAGTTTCTGGAGGGCACATAGATCTGCAGAAGTGAGAGCAGATAAGAAGGAGCAAAGCCAGAAGTCACTTTGTAGGCAAACATCAGAGCTTTGAATTTGATGCGAGCAGCAACTGGCAGCCAGTGCAAACGGACTAGCAGCGGAGTGACATGTGCTCGTTTAGGTTCATTGAAGACCACTCGTGCTGCTGCGTTCTGGAGCAGTTGAAGAGGCTTGATAGAGTTAGCTGGAAGCCCAGCTAGTAGAGAGTTGCAGTAATCCAGTCTGGAGAGAACAAGAGCTTGAACAAGGAGTTGAGCTGCATGTTCAGATAAGAAGGGTCGGATCTTTCTGATGTTATAGAGTGCGAATCTGCACGATCGAGCAGTTCTAGAAATGTGGTCAGAGGAGTTTAGTTGGTCATCAATTCAGTTTAACTGCTGAATGTTGTCAAATGAACAACACGACTGTTGGGTTTAGGCAATTGTATCAGTTTGCGGACTGCAAGACTGGGGCGTGACATGAAGAGGTGTAAAATGCAATAAATTAGAGAGGCGAAACTTGCAGTTATCGAGATTCCATTGAACCATGCAAGATGCTAAACGAAATGTTGGTAGCAAGATGGCGGAAATACTTACCAGAGAACATTTTCAGCAAATGATTTTATGAGTTTTCTCCAAATGTATCCTCAACCAATTCATTTGATATATTATTATATTAATTTGTAGTAGTAGTTTTAATTGTAGCAACTCCAGCGTGCTGATTTTATCAATTTTGTCATGACAGTTAGCCTACTCTGCGGCGCCCCCTGTGGTTACAGTATAATGGCGAGCTCATCAAGTATGAAGGACTTAGCAACTCGCGACTGTACATAAAAAACTGTGATGGTTGGGTTTAGGATTGGGGAAGGTGTAGACCTTAATAACTGTAATGGTTGGTTTAAAGGTCTTTGCACAAGAAAGTCTGAAATTTTTGTATGCGTTTTTTTTTTTTTTTTTTCCCATATGTACAAACCATGCACGATGCAGATTAATTAATCCATTACGAAAAAAAAACGCAAAATATTTCAGTATAACAAGCAGTGATACTTTGTTCTCTTCTCCAAAGTAGAAAAAGATAGGTTACATAGGCTACATAATGTGTTCATCTCGTGGCTGCACATTAAAAACTGTGATGGTTATGTTTAGTGTTGGGGAAGGTGTAGACGTTGAAACCGTAATGGTTATGTTTAGGGTTGGGGAAGGTGTAAATGTTAATAACTGTGATGGTTAGGTTTAGGGTTGGGGAAGGTGTAGACGTTGAAACCGTAATGGTTATGTTTAGGGTTGGGGAAGGTGTAAATGTTAATAACTGTGATGGTTAGGTTTAGGGTTGGGGAAGGTGTAGACGTTAATAACTGTGATGGTTGGGTTTGGGGTTGGGGAAGGTGTAGACGTTTAAACCGTGATGGTTATGTTTAGGGTTGGGGAAGGTGTAGACGTTGAAACCGTAATGGTGATGTTTAGGGTTGGGGAAGGTGTAGATGTTAATAACTGTGATGGTTGGGTTTAGGGTTGGGGAAGGTGTAGATGTTAATAACTGTGATTGTTGGGTTTAGGGTTGGGGAAGGTGTAGATGTTAATAACTGTGATGGTTGGGTTTAGGGTTGGGGAAGATGTAGATGTTAATAACTGTGATGGTTGGGTTTAGGGTTGGGGAAGGTGTAGATGTTAATAACTGTGATTGTTGGGTTTAGGGTTGGGGAAGGTGTAGATGTTAATAACTGTGATGGTTGGGTTTAGGGTTGGGGAAGATGTAGATGTTAATAACTGTGATGGTTGGGTGTAGGGTTGGGGAAGGTGTAGATGTTAATAACTTTGATGGTTGGGTTTAGGGTTGGGGAAGGTGTAGATGTTAATAACTGTGATGGTTGGGTTTAGGGTTGGGGAAGGTGTAGATGTTAATAACTGTGATGGTTGGGTGTAGGGTTGGGGAAGGTGTAGATGTTAATAACTTTGATGGTTGGGTTTAGGGTTGGGGAAGGTGTAGATGTTAATAACTTTGATGGTTGGGTTTAGGGTTGGGGAAGGTGTAGATGTTAATAACTGTGATGGTTGGGTTTAGGGTTGGGGAAGGTGTAGATGTTAATAACTGTGATGGTTGGGTGTAGGGTTGGGGAGGGTGTAGATGTTAATAACTTTGATGGTTGGGTTTAGGGTTGGGGAAGGTGTAGATGTTAATAACTGTGATGGTTGGGTTTAGGGTTGGGGAAGGTGTAGATGTTAATAACTTTGATGGTTGGGTTTAGGGTTGGGGAAGGTGTAGATGTTAATAACTGTGATGGTTGGGTTCAGGGTTGGGGAAGGTGTAAATGTTAATAACTGTGATGGTTGGGTGTAGGGTTGGGGAAGGTGTAAAAGTAATAACCGTGATGGTTATGTTTAGGGTTGGGGAAGGTGTAGATGTTAATAACTGTGATGGTTGGGTTTGGGGTTGGTGAAGGTGTAGACGTTGAAATCGTGATGGTTATGTTTAGGGTTGGGGAAGGTGTAAATGTTAATAACTGTGATGGTTGGGTGTAGGGTTGGGGAAGGTGTAAAAGTAATAACCGTGATGGTTATGTTTAGGGTTGGGGAAGGTGTAGATGTTAATAACTGTGATGGTTGGGTGTAGGGTTGGGGAAGGTGTAGATGTTAATAACTTTGATGGTTGGGTTTAGGGTTGGGGAAGGTGTAGATGTTAATAACTGTGATGGTTGGGTTTAGGGTTGGGGAAGGTGTAGATGTTAATAACTGTGATGGTTGGGTGTAGGGTTGGGGAAGGTGTAGATGTTAATAACTTTGATGGTTGGGTTTAGGGTTGGGGAAGGTGTAGATGTTAATAACTGTGATGGTTGGGTTTAGAGTTGGGGAAGGTGTAAATGTTAATAACTGTGATGGTTGGGTGTAGGGTTGGGGAAGGTGTAAAAGTAATAACCGTGATGGTTATGTTTAGGGTTGGGGAAGGTGTAGATGTTAATAACTGTGATGGTTGGGTTTGGGGTTGGTGAAGGTGTAGACGTTGAAATCGTGATGGTTATGTTTAGGGTTGGGGAAGGTGTAGATGTTAATAACTGTGATGGTTGGGTTTAGGGTTGGGGAAGGTGTAAATGTTAATAACTGTGATGGTTGGGTTTAGGTGTGGAGTAGGTGTAGATGTTAATTACTGAAATAATAACTAGAAGTTACACCGCTTCATGTTACCCCCTTGTCTTGCAGTTCGCAGACAGACCCTGCTTGGTTTAGGGGTGGAGTTTTTTTTTTAAATCAGATGTTTTCGTATGACTGATGTTGTATTACTTCATACGAATTAGCCACTAAACTAATAAAACGTAAAACATTTACATTCTTTTACGCTTTTGAGTTGTTTTAAATAACAAAAGCTTATGAATTTCGTTAAATCAGGAATAGCTATTTACAGTGTGGTCTTCTCGTCTCATGCGCTCGCACTTTCGTTTTCACATGAAAGCCTCCCTAACTTTAGCACTCGCTGATGGCACATTTACTCACGGGGAGCCTTGATTCAGCACATGGATATACTTTCTACACTAAAAATGTCATGACAAAAAGTCAAGACGACAGATTTTTGTCCCTTTAACTTATTTTTTTAAGTTAATCAGGTTTCAACTAAATGGTTAAATTGTACATTTAAAGACCTAATTAGGTTAATTAGGCAAGTCATTGTTTATTAATGGTTCGTTCTGTAGACTATCAAAAACAAATATTGCTTAAGGAGGCTAATAATGTTGACCTTAAAGTGGTTTAAAAAAAAACAGCTTTTATTCCAGCCGAAATAAAACAAATAAGACTTTCTCCAGAAGAAAAAAGCATTATGGGAATTACAGTGAAAAATGCCCTGCTCTGTTAAACATCTTTTGGTAAATACTTGAAAAAAAAAGTATAATTTTGACTTGAACTGTACATCTACAGCATCACACAGCATGATTGACACATGTCAGTCATAGGACTGCGTTTGCACTTACAGTTAGAGCGCGAGCCTCTGATCTGAGTGCCTTTCAGGAGTGTGTATATGTGTGTGTGTACGAAAGATCAGAAGTGTGCGACCCCTTTTTGGATATAATCTGCCCATAGTGAACATGGAGATGAAAGCTGAGGGAAAATTGCAGGGACTCGAGAAACACAAGACGCCAAGGCAAGATTAAACACACACACACACAC